GGATGGGACAAAAGCAGATGATCGAAAATTGCACGAGCCTTCAGTTGTTATTCATATACCTCCATTTAGAAGGGGACAGACATACTTAAGCGTGATGATGACTCTGGCGAAATGATTAATCCCACCCCTAGAAGCTCCTGAGGCTCCCCCTTTTCAGCGCGACAGAGCCCTGAACTCTGTCTAGACTCTAGCACTGATACCATAAGCGGTGGAACACGATTTGACACTTCCGGCTCTCTATCTAAGTTCACGGCACGCAAAACATCTCCATATTCCTATTTTCCCCTCCTTTTACCTCGCTACCACCATCCAGAAAGACTCCCACGCGCGTCCCAGCAAACATCCACGGGGAGATCCTACCGAGGTCTCCGGGGACACTTCATGTCGAAGGTGTGACCCCTGAACGTGTCAAGGAGTTGTCATGATGGTGAGGATGAATATGGATGATGTAGCTGGCAAGGCGTTTAGGGCCGTTGGTGCCGAGAGGGGGGTGTTATGCAAGTTCAGCAGGCTGTGTACCTGTTTTATGCCCCCTAGTAACAAGTGATCCCTCAGAGAGGGAGGAGAGGTAGGGCAGTCGGTTGGGGCGAGATTGGGACTGGAATGGGACAGATAAAAATTGTTTAGAAAAGTGTAAGGTAGGTTATTTCTGGTCATTTCTTAGGGATAATGAACCTAGACATATACTACGAGATTTCTGTTCGCTCAAGTTTAGGTGAAAAGAAGAATCATTGTAAGTATTCGAGCTCTGGACAATCGCTTTGTAGTATAGTATGTAAATGATGATGATGATGGGTTGGGTGGTGTTTCAGGGGCTAACATCTAAGTACTAATGATACAGAACGCAACGCCTCCTGAGAAGGAACCTTTTGTCATGAGGTCATTATTTGATTATACTTTGAAGATGCAAGAATGAACGGACGTAGTATAGGGGTTAAATAGAAACTCGTAGAAAGGTAAGATGTACAGGTCTGCTCCCTGCTGTAGCAGCCATCGCCGGTGAAAAAAGAATAGGTATGTGGTGGCAAAAAAGTGAAAAGTAAAAAGAAAAGGGTTCAAAAAAGAACGACACCAGCAGGATTCGAACCTGCGCTCCCGAAGGAAATGCCTGAACAACTAGTGGCGACTGAACGCCACATAGCAGGGCACCGCGTTAACCACTCCGCCATAGTGTCAGAATTTGGTAACCATTCTCTCCTTAACTGTATATTTGTGGGTATAATTGGGCCTTGCTCTGCTGACGCTTCTCCGTCCATCCTTTTTTTTGTAAACTTCCAAGGATCAAATGCGGTCGTTCTCCTCGTAGGGTAAGTAGAAAAAGTTAAATAGGTAGTAAATTGTTTACGAAAAGAGTTTGCTTTGCTTATATCTAATTAATATTCCATGTCTCTGAAATTGTAAAGGCAGTATTGTGAGTGTTTCCTGGTTTCATTACGCTATATTCATTCCTTCCGATGACGACCCGTCGTCGGGCATTTTGCCCAAATTCTTCTACCTCTCTACTGGCAAGTCTAGGTCCACAACTAGGGGGCTATTGAACTTTTTACCACCCTGGTGCGGCCAGTTCGTTGCCATGATAGCGGCGTTCACGATACAGGTCTCGTTTCTTCCAGATATGACCCTGTCGCCTCTGGCCACGTGCGATTCATCCTCTACCGTCAGTGAGGATCCCAAAGGCCCGTAGTTTCGAAGACAAGGCTGCTTTTTCCCCGTGAGGTCGATCAGACATTGTTTTTTGCTGCCGAGCGGAGGTAGTTCTCCACGAACTGAACTGAGCTCTTTGAACCTTTCACCATGGGGTGAAACATCCCATAGAACTCTGTCGTATCCTCGACCTTCATGGACGTGACCACAAATAGCTAATCGTGGTCGGACTCTCCATAATGCTCGACGTAGATGTTCGCAACCGAGCGATCCGTGTCTATTCTCATCGCAGTGGGACCGAGGCGGCGTGTGAGTCAAGACTATATCAGTATCTTGAGGTATCTGAGCCCAGATGTCCGCAGCTTCTTCAGAGGAATAACCAAAGGCCCATTTCCCACAGTGAGGGGTGTACGGAGACCCGAATATTTTCAATACTGATCGAGGCCCTTCCGGTCTGGAGAGCCGAATAACGGCAGATTCATGGTTTAAGTAAATGATTGAAGACTTGGTGAAGAGAGATTGACAATCGTCTGTCGACTCCCGCCTCTGGTTGTGAAACGATCGCCAGTGCCGGTTGTAGAAATCACTATCGAGGGTGATGTCGTGGTTACCTTAGATATGTTGGAGAACGTATCAGTGTGTCCTTGGAAGGGGGGTCGGTTGCAACGAGGGAAAAAAAAGTATCTAACCCGCAATTACTATTTTAACTTCAAAATCCGCGCTCTCAATCCATTCTACAGTTTTGCACAGCTCACTCATAGTCCCCTGATTCGAGAGATCTCCGGCATGGATCAAGACGTCACCTTTCGGCAGTTTGAAAGCACCATCTGAGGGGCCATAGCCATGTGTATCTGAAACACAGACAATCCGGGTACGAACCATATTTCGTCAGTTAAAGATAATTGAGTATCTCAACAACTCAGGAGTTGGAAAGATGGAAATTAGAAAATAGGTGGGCCTCCACGTTGGCTCTTCCCAAATAAACGAGATTAAACAGCCACGCCCTCTGACATCCAACGATATGGCTATATCCTTCCAATTTGTTAACTTATAGAACACGTCGGACATCTGAATGACAGAGGTAGGAGATGTCCGTTAAATGAGGTAGGAAGGAACCTTTAATCTGGATGAACTGGTGCGATGGCAACCCTTGAAACATTGAGGAAAAGCACGATAGTTTGAGAAATCGAAAACAAATGTGCTCTGTGTTCCGAGAGTTTAAAGACCGAAGCAGAGATGTTTGGGAGGAACAGAAAACAGTTTATGCTAGAGTGCGGTTGCAGGCGCCATAAAACGGTTAGAAAAGGTTGTCAAAAAAAGGGATAATCGTGTTCTGTAATATCAGACCCTGAAATACGAGATAAATTGACTGAGAGGCGCTCCGATGACCGACATCGACGTCGATGAAGACATAATGTAAACGTACTACGGATGGATGTTGCGAGAGAGAAACAAAGTTTGCCTTTGGGTTTATATGTCACGTGATGTACCACATCTATTGGCAAAATTAGGGCTGGGATGCTCGTCCACACAAACTAGCCTCGCTTAGCCATTTCTGCCCATCGATCCTCTCCGAGTGCGTGGTTTGAAGGAGACCACAACGACCAACGACACGACACCCAACCCGACAATACACTACCCAAGGTGTATCCCCGAGCATAGCTCATCGCCTTGCTGGATATTTGCCTCGTGAACCGGTGACAGAGCACGATGTCCACTTTCGAGCCAGTGGTGCGTTAAATCTTTATTGCGGACTTGGGACTTCGCGTTTTCGATGATAAGGGCTGAGAAAAACTGACTGGATTCTTGTGATGGATATAGGTCGTCATCGACGGCAAGGGACATCTCCTTGGTCGCCTGGCCAGCATTGTGGCCAAGCAGTTGCTCAACGGCCAAAAGATTGTCGTTGTGCGATGTGAAGCCCTCAACATCTCTGGCGAATTCTTCCGCGCTAAGCGTACGATATAACCCTTTTATTTTTCGATTTTGGCGAAAATTTGGCATTTTTGGGCTTGGGGATGTGGGATAATTTGGGCTGTTTGGGATAATTTAGGATGGATTTGACGACTGACTCGATTTCCGCCTATAGTGAAGTACCATGCCTACCTCCGCAAGATCACTCGTTTCAACCCAACTCGAGGAGGTGAGAAAACCATTAGCACACAATTGCCTACGTGTCGGACGGCGAAAATCCACTAATACGGAAGTGCAGGTCCTTTCCATTTCCGCGCTCCTTCCCGCATCTTCTATAAGGCTGTCCGGGGTATGATTCCTCACAAGAGCGCTCGTGGCGCCGCTGCCATGGAGAGACTGAAGGTCTTCGAGGGCGTCCCACCACCATATGACAAGAAGAAGCGAGTTGTCGTTCCCCAAGCTCTCCGAATCCTCAGACTGAAGCCCGGCCGCAAATACTGCACCGTTGGACGGTTGAGCCATGAGGTTGGCTGGAAGTACCAGGATGTTGTTGCAAGGTTAGCCCCCAGCAATACCAACCATGCAGATCAAAATATATCTTCCCGAATTTGGACTATGATCGGTCTGCTAACCATCATTTTCTTTTTAGACTCGAGGAGAGGAGAAAGGTCAAGGGATCCGCATATTACGAGCGCAAGAAGGCTGCGCGGAGACAACTTGTTCAAGCCCAGAAGACTGCCAATGTGGATCAAAAGACAAAGGCCCAGTTGGCGGAGTATGGTTATTAGATTTCTGGGTGAGGGGAATGATGTTTGGCTTTAGGTTCTTTGATGGTAGAGCTGGTTGCAATGTGAACGGCAAACGCAAACCAATCGGCCTGTACCTATAATATCACGAAATACACCTTTAATGAATCAAGGGCAAAGTGATTGAAAAGGGAACAGGGGATAAAAAAGGCAAAAATATTGAATATTTTTTTTAAACCGGGTGCTATTGGGACGATGCCTTTGTTCATATTACTTCATAAGCCTGTCTCTCTAAAATCTTCCATGGCGCTTAATCCAAATGGTTTCTTGTTCAATAAATTCCCAAGGCATATCATGATTCATGTGTATGGGTCTCTTCCATTAAGCGTTCTTCAGCGGTCATAATTACATTATCCACATTGTGATTTGTGCTTGTGCCTGAACGAGCGATCTATGGGTACCGAAGTACGGGAACCTAAATAAGCCATCAGGGCTAGCACAACGGCGGGTAGATTTTGTGGGGGCAACATGTTGCGTTTCGGGGCAAACTCGGGGGGTGAGACGGGTCACGAAGATAGCCGAAGAGAGCACCTCAATTCTTCTCTCTGCCCCTGGAGTCCTTTTTCCTCATCATCAGGAGATTTTATTGTTTTTGTGGTTGTGTATTGTTCAGCTCTCTCGTAGCTATCTTTAAACATGTCCGGGGCAGCTAGTCGTTTGCGCAATCTCACCCACCACTTCCTCCCCACATCGCCATGGGCCACAGATCCCAAAAGGGAGACCTCCCACCCCTTCAACCGGCACACGCTTTCTCCCACATTCTTCCTCCCGCGCGCAGCTGCTATTGAACCGAATGTATGCTCTATGTGAATGGCTCTGTTTTCTCATTATTTTTTGCTAATTGGAAGCATTCTTCTATTACCGACAGGCGCAAGCTATCTATCACGTCACCGCAAACAACAAGGTCCTAAGGAGATCATATATCGAGACAGCGGACCGGGCTAGGGGATTTGCTTATTACCTAAGAAAACATGGCTTCAAGAGAGTTGGCATATTATGTCCTAACACTCCAGCCTTTTTGGAGTCGATTTTTGCGATAGGTGCAGCGGGGGGAGTCAATGTTGGTATGATAACTTTACTACCCTTTTCTGGTGCGGTCGATGCTAAAACTGAAGCGTTAGCTGTCAATTATAGATTAAAACCAGAAGACATTGCGTATATCTTCAACCATTCCGAAGCCGACGTCATCATCGTTGACAAAGAATTTGTCCCGCTCCTCGACGAGTTCAAGAAGACGAATGGTCATGTACCTCTGATTATCGACACGGACACAGACGCTATAGAAGGCGAGCTTAGCGGGCCGTTCGATCAAGCCGTATTGGAAGGCCTTAGCTTTGATACTACGTCCGGAAACCATGGATGGCAGGGATTGGAAGCTCAGACGCCGGATGAGGATGCGCTCATTGCGCTTGCGTACACGAGCGGCACCACTTCACGACCCAAGGGCGTCGAGTACATCCACCGCAGCTGCTATCTGGCAACTCTCGCAAATATAATAGAGTCTGGACTAAACTCCAGCCAGGGTCGGTGTCGGTATCTTTGGACACTACCAATGTTCCATGCTATGGGTTAGTTCATATCCCCGTTGAAGAGTTTATTGATTTCATAGTGATGTATTATTTATTTATTTATTTGTTTTTTTCATATTAACCAAGATCCTTTCCGCAGGATGGACATTCCCATGGGCCGTGACGGCCGTCAGAGGCACACATTACTGCCTTCGGAAGATCAACTACCCTCTGATTTGGAAACTACTCAAGGAAGAAGATATCACGCACTACTGCGCAGCTCCGACGGTCAATACCATCCTCTGCAGCTCGAAGGAGGCGGAGGTACTTCCCAATCCCGTCCGGGTTACGGTTGCAGCAAGCCCCCCAACACCACATCTTTTTGAACAAATGACAAATCTCAACCTGCACCCGGTCCATGTTTACGGGCTTACTGAGACCTACGGCCCAATCACAAAGGGCTATTACTTGCCTCAGTGGGATAACATCCCAACAGAGGAGAAATATAAGAAGATGGCTCGGCAGGGCCATGGATTCCTAACCAGTCTTCCGGTACGTGTAATAAAGACTGAAGTACCAGAAGGAACTGTTATCGACGTCGAGAAAAATGGGGAGGAAATGGGCGAGATTGTATTCGTCGGCAACATTTGCGCCAGGGGCTACTATAAAAATGAAGAGGAAACGAAGAAGTTGTTTAGCGGAGGCGTGCTCCACTCAGGGGATCTGGCTGTATGGCACCCAGACGGAGCGATCCAGATCCTAGACCGTGCTAAGGACATTATCATTAGCGGTAAGTACCCTTGGATTCCTACGGTACTCCCCTTGCGATATTCTGTGAAATACTAAGGACTCTTGGCGCTTTTTTTCTAGGCGGCGAAAACATATCCTCTGTTGCATTAGAGTCCATGCTTGCAACACATCCAGACATTCTTGAAGCCGGAGTGGTCGCTGTGCCTGATTCCCATTGGGGCGAGCGCCCAAAAGCTTTCATCACGGTCCATGCCGGCAAGCAGCTTGAAGGCAAAGACGTGATTGAGTGGGCAAAACATGTGAGCGGTATCAGCCGGTTCATGGTCCCCAGAGAAGTTGAAGTCGTGCGCGAACTGCCCAAAACTAGCACCGGGAAGCTGAAGAAAAATGTACTGAGGCGGTGGGCAAAGGGCGAGGATCGGACCCTTGAATGAGATGTCGCGATGATACCATTTTGCTAGTGTTATCCTGCTTTGGTGTAAGATTATGTGAATACTCGGCTTGCTTTTCGAGGACCAATTATATTAGCAAGGTTTTTAAACAAGGGAGTTATAACTTTTCAATGGATCCATTTACCTACTGTCTTCACGTTGAACCATGCATCTTGAAACGTAAAGCGCTCTCTATTCTGTAAAGCTTGGAAAAAGTCCCTTTGTTGATAGTCATGTAAATATGTAGACTATAATTTAAAGGTAATATAGGGCTAGTTCTCAATATCACAATACATATACAAAACACTATTATCCCGGTCCTAGCCATTTACCTAGATGACTTCTAGAGTACCACGCCGAATCAGTCACTTGCTCCTGTTGATCGTGTGAGGCCGCAACGTGGAATTCCCCAAGGCTGGCTTATTTAGCGACATCATTCCAACCAAGGTTTCGCTCTATCTTCAGAACTTCTCGCACACCTGTCAGCCCTCTCTGAGCTTTGTCACTACTGGACGATATAGCTTATTCATTATTCTTCCGGTTAGGATATCATTACAAGTAGCTAGCAAAGGCACATAACCTCCTGGGTGGCCTATTTAGCTATCCCCCGCCTTGGCTTCTGCGCCATTGGTTGGTTGACGGGTTTCATATTCCGCACCCAGCCTTATTTATTAATACTTGGCCCCTCCTTCGCTCTGCTTTCTCATTCATTGAGCTGGGTCACAGCAGCCGCCAGATCTTTTCATCAGCAGGAAAGATATTCCCTTTGCCGCTCTCTCATCTTTGATGGTCACCTCTGTTTTCGACCTCTGCAACCGGCCTCTCGTTTTCTCCCCCCGCCTTCCGTTGCGTCGCGCCCTCATCGAAAACAAGAACCACGCCCCACAAACCGGCCGTCGCTCCGCCTCCGCCGTTCTGTACTTCGCCAGCAACTCTGCTCGGAGCTGTTTCTCGTACAACCCTCAACCCGCTCTTGCGTATGCAGTTCGTTTGCAACGCAAACCCGAGGAGTGCCTGCCCGCTGTTCTGCATCCCGCCAAACTCTCTCGTAATAGCTTCCAAGCTTATATCTTGAGCTGCGTTCAACTGTTTGTGCGGCCTAAACCTACTCACCCCACCGGCCTACCGCTAATCTTCCACGCTCTTTTACATACGAAACCTATCACGGAGTGAATCGGGCTCAGCTATACTCTGAAGAGTTGAAGTGGAATAATTCACAGCTTGGCGGAAGAACAACATTCGGTGCCTTCAACAAAAACAGCTTCCCTTCACGGGCAGCATATTTAAATCCGTCGAGAATGCTACGTTCAAGGGCCCCGCTACGGCTTTCTGGGGATGATAATCCCTCAGAATCATCGAATTCCACTTCTCCGGAGCGCGCGGTGGACGATGATACGGATTTCTTCATGCATCTAGCAAGCGACTCGGAGTCCTCAGTAGGGATGAGCACTTTTCGGGACCTCAATGTCAACACTAGCCCCGACACCGTTCTCCCACCCATCTCCCGCCTCCCTCCCGAGCTCCTCATCTCTATATTCGCAAAACTTAGCTCTCCCTCGGATATGCTGAGCTGCATGCAAGTCTCTCGGAGCTGGGCAATCAACTGCGTGGGAATTCTTTGGCATCGGCCCTCGTGTAATACTTGGGAAAACCTGGAAAGGGTGGTAAAGGCGTTTACAGAACCGCACACTTATTTTCAATACTACGATCTTGTGAAACGACTAAACCTTTCCGCACTGAATAAAAAGATATCCGACGGATCCGTTGTTCCCTTCTCGCGTTGCAAACGGATTGAACGCCTGACTTTGACCAACTGCTCGATGCTTACCGATAATGGGGTTTCTGATCTTGTGGATGGGAACAAACATCTCCAGGCTTTAGATGTGTCCGATCTCAAGTCTCTGACGGACCATACCTTGTTTATGGTCGCCAGGAACTGTCCGAGACTTCAGGGATTGAACATTTCCGGTTGTATCAAGGTGACAGACGAGTCGCTTATCTCCGTTGCAGAGAATTGTCGTCAGATTAAAAGGGTACATTTTCTCTCCCTCCAAGATAAACTTCCCCATAATTTGCTAACGGTATCTAGTTGAAATTAAATGGAGTTGTCCAAGTCACCGATCGAGCGATCCAGTCATTTGCTATGAACTGCCCCTCCATATTGGAAATCGACCTTCATGGGTGCAGGCAGATCAGAAGTTCGTCTGTCACTGCCCTTCTATCTACCCTCCGGAACCTTCGAGAACTACGACTAGCCCATTGTGTCGAGATTGACAACAACGCCTTTCTTGACCTTCCCGATGACCTGATATTCGACAGCCTTCGGATCTTGGATTTGACTGCCTGCGAAAACTTTGGAGACTCGGCTATTCAAAAGATCATTAACTCCTCACCGAGATTGAGAAACCTAGTTTTAGCAAAATGTAGATTCATTACTGATCGTTCAGTGTATTCTATATGCAAACTAGGGAAAAATATCCATTATGTCCATCTAGGCCACTGCTCTAACATTACTGACGCTGCGGTAATTCAGCTGATCAAATCATGCAACCGTATCCGATATATTGATCTGGCATGCTGCAACAGACTGACAGACAACAGTGTCCAGCTGCTGGCTACTCTTCCGAAGCTGAGGCGGATAGGTCTTGTCAAGTGTCAGGCCATTACAGATCGCAGTATAATTGCTATAGCAAAGTCTAAAGTGTCCCAGCATCCTTCGGGGACCAGCTGTCTGGAACGAGTACATCTTAGCTACTGCGTTCACCTGACAATGGAAGTATGTTGATAGTTATTCGAAGCTCTGTTCAGACCTCCCCCTCCCCTCTCTCTCTTTTTTTTTTTTTTTTTTTTTTTTTTTTTTTTTTGGTGGCTAAGGCGCATACTGATCAACCCGTCTATTTAGGGAATTCATTTGTTACTCAACAGTTGCCCACGGCTCACCCATCTCAGTCTTACTGGCGTCCAAGCATTCCTTCGAGAAGAATTGACAGTATTTTGCCGTGAAGCTCCCCCTGAATTCACCCAACAGCAACGTGACGTTTTTTGCGTGTTCAGCGGCGATGGAGTTAGTGCTTTGCGTGATTTCCTCAATCGTGCGGCTGTCCCTTATCGCCAAGAGACTGGAGAGGGGACGATGTATGATGATGCTGATGAATTAGATGAAGCGGAGGGTCAAGTGACCGGCCTTATGAATGCCGCCGTTATCAATGATGAGGAGGACAGTGAGATAGCTGGTGGAGGAACCCCACCTGCACCACTCGGATGAGAATCAACGAGCCCAGCCTTATTTTTGTCCATCGTCATCGCACCATTCGACGATCAGCATATATTAGGATTACCCCTTTAAAATAGACGCCGGCTCGATTTCGCAAATATTGCTACTGGTACGATGTACGAACATGCAAGCCTTTGTCATCCCACCGCAGCAGTTTAACCCTGGTCATCTGATAAAGATGGCGAGCGCTGTTCAAAAATGGCTGCAAGCATACTGCACACAGAACAAATATATCGAGATATAGAGAATCAACTCGCCAAACGACGAATTACAATCTAAGGGGCCTATTTCGTACTGTGGTGCATAATATTGCCCATAAGGAACAACACGCCGCCTGGCGCGGAGGGAAAAAGAGTAGCAATTATCAGGGTATGGTCTACTGTATATCCTACCGTGGCATTTCTCCAGGGCCGTTACATCGGCTTGATGGTACAACTTCATTGCCCATCCGTCAATCTCGAACTCGAGGGGGTGAGGGAAAGAACAAGCCGCCAACGAAGCGCGACCTTTGGTTTGAACTTTTCTATTTCCTCAATTTTCTTTCACTGGGTGTTTCGTTTTCTCCGATTTCTTGATTCGGTAGTTTTCGTTGATCCCAGGCAACTGTTTTCTCGCCATATATACCCACTGCTGTGAGGATCGGATGGAGATTATAACGAGAAGGAACCAACGACCCCTGGTTCTAATATGTAGCATAAAACGACCGTACAGCCTTCTATTTTATTTGTGCAGTTTATTCCGGCGTTTCCCCTTTCCTCCTTCTCCCTTTACTCTGTTTCGATTTTCATTTCGTTTCCCCCCTTTTTACTTTTTAGTTTTACTAGACGAGATGATTCCCCCCTTCCTCCTGCTTTTTTATTTTCCTCTCATTAAATACTAGTTTTCCTCTTCCGGCACTCCAGATCTTCCTTTGTTTTTTTAATTATTCTCCCTCTTTCTTTCCCCTTTAGTAACAGGGAAAACTTCAATGATGAATAAAGCCTTTTTTTCACATAATTAAAATTATGATTTGTATGTAAAATACCTACTTTCAGAGAATGAAGGGGAAAGGGGGAGGGGGGAAGAAGAAAGAATGACATCAAAAGGAAGCGGAGATATTGCATAAATTTTTCAGTTTTTTCTTCGAAGGTCTTTCTTTCCTTTTCCTCCTTGGCCTTGATATTCCTCTGCCAAATTCTGGTCCTTCATTTGCGTGTATTTCCTTTTTTAATATACATATTAGAAAGAAGAAAAAAAGAGGGACGGGGAAAAAAGAGAAAATAGAAAATATGAAAACTTATCGAGATGAAAATATTGGTTGGCAAAGTCCGTATAAAATGAATAAATGAATAAATAAATAGTTGAGTATTAGAGTATTACATAGGTATCTTCTTAAATCTGAATTGTGGTCTCGAAAACATGTAACTAACTGATATTGTGCTAATTCAAACTACTACAAGAGACTGTTGTTTCTTTGCTTCCCATCGCCGTTCAGCCTCCTTTTTACACCCCTTTCACTTCAAGAGAGCAGACTTGACTATTGATAGACCAGAAATCAAACGAACGAGAACGGGTGAAAAAGAGGGAGAGAAAGTAAAATACAACCGGGGACGGGTTGATTTCCGAGTTACCTGCCGCTCCATACTTCTATGTTTCCGTTCCGTTTGTAATGTACTGCACCTTGTAGTTGAATGCATCCTGCGTTTTCAAGATAACCGGAAAGAGAAAATGGATTGCTCTGGGCTGTGTCCCTCTCAATGCCTCTTGCTGCCATGTAGATAAGCGCTGCGTAACAATTGTCGATAGTTTCTTCTTTTCCATTCTCAAGTGGGTGAGAAAAATTGAAAAAAAGAGGAATAAGAAAGGAATACAGAATGCATAAAAGATATTGGTAATATATGCATACATTCAGCCCCCGTAACTAACTAAAATTAGTCCTTGGAGTGCCATGACAATCTGGTTTGGGTTTTCTTTTCATGCTCCCAACTCTGTTCGCTCGCTCACCCTCATCCTCAATATTCGCCCCCATAGTCATTTTCTAGCAGGCGTTCGTTCACAGGAGCCCTACCAGCACCAGCATAGCGACGCCGGCTGCGTGCTATGGCGCCTGATTGGGTAATCGGTAGAAATACGAGCATAGTTTCAAATATCCGTCGACGGAGGCGCGGGTTATAGGAATTTTCCCGGGACACGTTAGTAGTGGAGGTGGAGCATGAGGTCGATGATGAAGGCGATAGCATTACTTCGCTCATCATATTATTCAGTGCCTCAGGGGCCGAATAGAAGGAATCTCGCGACACAGATGCTTCAACTGAAGCGGTGGTAATAGATGTATGGGAGTCGTTCCTGTTGTCCTCTTCAGGCGTCCTATCAGAATCAACAACACGGTGCATGGGCCCATTTCCGCTGTTGTGCTGTTCCGTGACGTTGCAGTCGTCATCTCTGTCAGTCATATTTGTCGAGAATGATCTTGCTAGAAGGCCGCTAGGGTAATAGAGTTGGTGGGAGTACCCGCTGGGTATGTGCCTATGGACCGCTGTTGTGTTATTGTTAACATCATAAGTATTATCATTGCTGTCATGGTCCACTGCTAGGTTTAAGATCCGTGGAAGCTCTTGTTGCATCAAGCTTGGCACTGGCTGCGGTGGTGGGGGGAATGTAAACGCGGGAAGAGGAGTCCGATTGGCCCCTGACAGTCGGGCCCTAAACGAGGTATCAGTCACTGATCTAGGGATTGGAACTCCTCGTGATGGAAATGTCGTCCCGTTTCGTGTAGGTGTCTGCTCTCGTTGTACGAACGGCGATGGGATTTGGGCTTCACTATTTCTACGTACTTCAGCTTGTTCAGTCACAAGGCTAGGACTGGGAGTGCGCCCTCTTCTCCTCAGAGTTTGGGGTGGTAGGGGGAATGCGTTTACTATTGCTGCCCGGTCACAGGAGCTTGGTCCTCGGCGAGAGGATGGTGAGGAGGCGGTTGGAACTTGTTTGCGTGGAATTACAAGCGGAAAACGTGATAGCTCAGGAACGTTAGCTGTGGGTTGTGGATCCTGGGGGTTGTGGCTTGCTGCTGATTGCCCTCTAGAGACCGGGACTTTGAGAACGACTTTGGTGCCACCCTCTTGCATCTCTGGGAAACCAATATAAGCATGCTTCCGTTGCTTGTAGTAGGAATTCTTTCGAATAATCGAAGGACGAGGGACTAATGACAAGGTCTCCTTCCATCTGGATCGGCACTTGTTTAAAAACATCTCATTTGATTTGAAACAATCCTTATGCGGTCCGAGAAACAGGCTAAGGTGACCACGCCGTAACTTCAGTTCGAGCGCGTCCACCCCACACACTGTCATTTGCATCTGACAGCGGCGTTTGGCAACGTTGGCATTCCACACGACATCATTTTTCACAAGGACGAAATCCAGACTATACTCATCGAAGGATTTGACCTGAGAGAACATTCTGAAAGTGGAGGAACATTTCCGGAAAGTGTTCTTCGATTCGCAGTATTCCCTCAGTAGGAAATGACAGATCCCCTTGTTAAACCAAGATATTGTGAATTCGCGATCCTCATTGATGCTGAGCTCGTATGCGTCTAATGCTCGACGGAGATCGCCCACTGAAGCCCAGAGGGATCCGATGTTGAACCAGACTGGTGCGCGGGACATAAGAGAGGAACTCCGCCGAAGGAAGTCAGTGTGCTCCTCGAGAGCTTCGACGTACTGCGAGTGCCGGGCGTATAGGACTGCGGCAGCTAGGGAGTAAACGGCTTCTTTAAGATCCATTTGTGGGCTATGGTATTTCGAAATTTCGCAATTAAGCATGCGTGGAGAGGGGAGGTGGCCGGTCATATAACGAGGTCTTGGGTGAAGTGGCCCCATTCTGACGTTGATTCAAGGGGCCTCCACAGGGCTGTAAAATTCGAAAGGTACGAAGCACGGAAACAAGTAAAAGGGTAGCCCTCATATAATGATGGTAAAGAAAGCTCAGATGAGAATGAGTGCAGAGGAGAAAGCACAAATGTCAGGGGCTGTGTTGAGCCTCATTCTTTCTCTTGGCGGATGAACTGTGTTTTATATAATGGATCAAGGAAAATATTAGGTCTCTTCCTCTGAATCCTTTGTAAAATTGCCATCAGATATGAAAGCATACTTGGTCTCATGAAATCCTGTGAAAATCAGATACCCTCCTAGTTCAGATATGTGCCATCAAGCTGATAAGCTCCAGTCGCCATACAGCTTGTGCAGTACAAAGTTCATAGGTCCCACCTCTTGTATCAAATTGACTGACAAGAATCTTCCTAAAAGGAAAAAGAGGAAGAAATGTTGACTTTGAAAGAGAAATCTTTATTTACCAATCCATATAACTGGACAGTGGAGATGGGACAGCTTCCATCATGCCTAAACTGTACAAAACTGGTGGGTGCTCTTGGATATTTAACATCCATTACCTGCCCAGCTTTCTCAAGACTGACATAAAACGAGAAACAAGACCAAAGGCCACGGGTATCATATCAGGTCTTTAGCTCGCCACAAGGGAAAGACATCCTACTCTTTTCCCGGATAGGATAGCTTCAAGGAAATTCAATAGGTTTGCCTTGGGCGATAATTTGGCTCACTAGGTTCGATCGTTTTGATCTTGATCTTTTTTGAAAGCATTAATAATCGAATTGTTAACCTACGGCATCGCAGAACTTGGCTTGTACATGTACATTACATGTACCGTGGACACTCATCGCCATTAAGTTAGCCCTTCTGTGTAGAATCTCCCCGGCGGAGTCGCCGTCAAGCACGGGAGAGGTTGAAATAAACACTTCACATGGTTAGTTATACTATTACTTGGCATTGGCTTGGCACGGATTAATTCGGTAATAGGCGGGACCATTGGACAGTTGGACCTCCCTCCTATATCCCATCCAATAACCTTAAGTCGCAAACTGTCTATATCAAGTCAAGGTGAAAGGTTTATAGTGGAGGTTGTTTATTAGCACCCCTCGGAGTCCTTAATTCATTAGTCAAAATGAGATATGAGAAGAAAGGAAGCCTAGACTGATCTGGGAAGATGGGCAAGGTTTGTATATAAGACCCAGGGACTTTCTGTCCAGTGTTATGATCAAAAACTGAAACTAACAGTACACATATATCAAATATTAGACGGGCAAAATATACCAAAGGCTGAAAAATATGGGGAAAGAGAAGTAAAATTAAGCGGGACGCCTTCCACGATCGACGGTACAGGCGAAAATGTCGGCATCAAGAATGCCAAACTAAAATTTTAACAGAAGTCCGAAATGGTTGATAGAAAAGGTGGGAATGTTCATTATGTATGTACATGTACATGTGCATATTAGGCTACTAGACCAAAAATAGCAAACAGAAAGAGAAAAGAAAACTTCTCAGCAAAAATTGACGGCATCATTGAATTGTGATGCCATGACTAGCCTCGACAAGGCCATCCGCTGATTTCGAAATAGCAACCCAGTTAGGAGTATAGAGCCGCAGTTCATCCAGTGCCGGTATCACATCGGACTGGTTACTGTCGCTCCACAGACAGATGACCTTTCCACTCAACCCGTTTCGGGGAGCGTCTTGCTTTTCATCATCACCATCATCGTCTTCTGGTTTGTCATGGCTATCATGCCAGCATATATCCACAACCCAAGTCCTATCCCACGTTCGACTCCACAGTCTGATTTCCGCAACTCCTTGGCCGGAAGTGTGCGGCATACGGTGGTCCACTGCGGAGCCTGAAACCTGGAAATCCGCGACTGGCTTGTCGAATTTGAGTTTGCAGGCTCGTGTGTTCCGGCCGGAAATTTCGATGCGTGCTTTGTTTTCACCCACTGTTTTGGTAATGTTGTAGGACATCCAGTCACTGGACACGATTCCAGTATCCCTATCATGATCTTGTCCCAGAACGCGGGGAGGAAGCCCAGCCCAGGAACATTTTTCGAGTTTACCAAACGCGCTTTGGTCGCAGGTAATATTTTGGCCCGCTGCGCTCGGTATAGAGTTTATTGCATCCGTAAGATAAGGTTGTATGCCGCTAAGAGATACTGTATTCGAACCGTCGTCCAGATTGACTTCCTGTATGAAAAACATCTTCAAACGATTGGCAGGAGAGAAGGGAAAGGCCACCAAATTATAAATTAGAGTACCAACAAATACGAGAAACAGGAATGTCGGAATATGGTATGTGAATCGATGGATGAAAGGGAATAAAGGTGCGAATAGAAGAGTTGTAAAGACGGCACATGCCAAGTAGACAATGAAGGTCGACACTCCGTCTGAACCAACCTGGCTCATTGAGGTGGTCAGGAAAAGGGCAAGCTGGCCGACAAGAATGAGAACAATAGGAGCTAGAAGCAAGAGTTGTAATACCCATGTCCACCTAGGTAATGTCCAGCTCCATGATTGTTCATGTTTAAAACTGGGGCCTTCATCGGTACCTTCAACGACACCGTCAGTGCCACCAGTCCGATAATTTGCAAACGTTGTACGTTGGCCACGAAGTAGGGATGTAGATTCTGTGGGGTCGGTCTCGTCTGCATCTCCGGGGTATTCAGCATGGGGGCCAGTATCAGATGGTAGCTCGTCTGCGGAAGGCGTTAGTAACCTGCTTCTGAGGCTGCTTGGAGGTCGCCCTGAATGCATAATGGCCTGACGCGCAAAATCCCCCTTCCGCGGAAGAGCGAAGAGTTCCAGATATGAAACCCAAGTCGCGAGAAATGAGCCACTAAAGTAAAAGAACACAAAATATCCCGCCGCAATTCCTTTTTGGTTTGCATAAACTGTGTTAATCACTAGCATGACCCACGTTGCGATGAATATCCACGTGTAGCTATATGCTCTGTGGAGAGCTGAGGGCCTGAAAAAGTCGGCGGCACAGGCTAGAAACCAAGCTAGGAATATCCACACAGAGATCATCATGCTCCACACTGAGAATTGGCTGGAATGTACGATATATGGATTGACTTTCTCGAGTAGATACGCCAAACCTATAGGAATGACCGTAGCCACAGCCAATATTATAGGGGTGCGGAATAGGCCGCGGAGACCTCGTAAGGAGACCCGTTCGTCAGTTCCTCCCAACGACTTGGACATCGAAAACAGGTACATTCGGTCTGTTTTAGATAAGACAATAGCCGTGATGAAGATTACCAGAGGGGCAACGATCAGTAACGTTACGGAGAGTGCAAACAGAGTATGAAGGCGGAAAACCGCAAAGGCGGATCCAAACATATCAAACCAAACACCTAGAGTGCCAGTGCCGCTGTTCACTTTGTCTAGGCCCTGTGATTTGCCATCGAAATCCGTTCCCGTATATGAAACGAGACCTTCAGTGGTTCCTATAGCAGCAGAGAGCATGTGCCACAGGGAATCCACACTGGTGTGCCGAGCATCATCTTGGTCTGTGTGATATCGGCTTCTGGGAGCTATGAAAGCCAAATCAAGCCCTCGAAGCCCTAAGATACCGTTAAACACGACATAGTCAGTTTGACTGCGCAGTAGGCCCATCTTAAACCCGTCAGCAGCGAGCACAGAGCCAAATGGGTGTTTAGCGTTCTGATAAAATCGTGTAACTTCGGTGTCCGTGGTTCGGAAAAGGGCAGCTCGACCCCCCGCCCCCGCACCTTCAAGATTCAAGAACGTATGCGTAAAGTTTGACAGTGGATGTTGGCTAAATACGTGTGCGCCGTTCAAATAATCTTCCTCGCCATTATTGAAGAGCAAGACGAGACCTTTCCGGGGTTTGTTGCCAGGGGTCGTGAAGTATTTGAGGAGTTGTAGCAAGCTCACGACTCCCATGCCATTATCCGTGGCTCCATACCCTGTTGAAACACTATCATAATGAGCGTTTACCAGAACCCCTCCTTTCCCTTTCGGTTTCCCATTTGAGCGCTCCCACCAGTTCTCCGGGTCATCTTCAGTCCCTCGTATATAAACAATGATGTTGGTGCCTTCAAAATAGACTCCCACAATTGCAGCCTTGCCAACTCCACCGTTAGAATAAGTCAGATTAGACTGATTGTCATCAAACACGAAAACGTCTGGTATGTCGTTATTAGCGGAAGGGCGCTCTCCAGCCTCTACTGTAGGGCGAAGGATCGAATCGATTCGGCGTAGGAGCCACTGGTGGACGTCATCATTTCTCCGGCTATTATATGGGTGAAAACCTCCGGTTAAGTGCTGAAGATCCCTCCAGGCTTCCGTAAGATTCACACCTTCCGGGCTTGTTTCCGGAGCGGGAGGAACAACCAGACTTATGACGAGGATCGGAATTAGAAGGGCGAGATACACGATTGTTGTGATCAGGGTTACCGGCCCGGGTGTGAAGGCAATGGGGTTGAACTTCTGAGCCCTGGGGGTGGCCATTATGGGCGATATGACCTGGGGAAGCCGGCTCCGCTTGGAAAAGTAAACCTACTGAGCAGGAGACAGATCCATTCGCGACAGGCAATAGTTCTCTCGAGGACGAGAGGTGTTTGGGATGCTGAGCGTATCAAGGCGGGTGAAGGCGGCAGTAAGTTTGGGGATGGATGTTCCTCGCCAAGCCCATCCTCGTTCTCATGCCAAACAGATACGATTGATTTATTTACTCTATAAAATTTGGAGACCCCTGGCCCAGACGGCTGGAACCTAAGTATGAAGGTAATAAGGAAAATCCGTGGGTTTAGGAGCTCCCTCTGTCATTCATATTTCTCTTTGTTCTATAGGAGTAGGCAAATTCAATACAATCGCTGCTGATCGCGGGAAAACGGTGTCGGAATGAGTGTCACGGATGAATATGTTGGAGACATATGAATCTTATGTGTATCAAGATCTGCTTGTTATATTATCTGTACCCTATCTAATATATCTATTTCATACAAAAGATAGAGCTATTTATAGTAAAATATATGTGCGAGCCAAGAGAGCTAGCATAAGCGAGTATTAGACAAGTGTTGTAGTAAGCTGATGATGATGAGAAATATTGTAGTAATACGATGTTGGTGGCGTTCAGTAGTATATAACCTCTTTTTCCTGACAAACGGGAAAAGGGGGTAGGAGCTTCTGCTGCTCTGAAATGGCATCTGGAGAATACCATACATAAGAAGATGGGAAAGTACAAGGAGAAGGAAAATATAAATTTTGCAGTTACAGAGGAAACAAAATCATAAGACGTTCATTGTTTTAGTATACATCGATTATATTATATTCGGGATCGTACACAAATATGTTCATAGTCGCACGGTATGTATCTGCCGCCCCTCAACCCCCAAAGCACTTGTCTCGTTTTTAAAGTTGCATTGCCCAAACACCCATTGCCTCGTGGTTTTTAAGTATTTGATCACTACATTTCGATCCTCCCCACAATATATCCGTAATATAGAACGGCTTGGCGAACGATGGTATCGTCCGCGATTAGCATCTGGTGCTAGATGGACCCGGGGTGGAATGTTCGCCTCTATCTCTCAAAAACCAGTTCGCCTGCTCTCAGCAGCTTCCACAGGTTTCTTTCGTTGGTGTACAAACCGCGGTAGACTGATATCCCACCACTCTCCCTGACACGAATTGGTTAGGTACCGTTACGGATGCCCGGTCCTCGAGGGCAAGTAAGCACAACTCATGAGTTGTTGTCCACGTTTCAATCCAGAGACAGAGAGGTTGCGACGTTACGCAATAATACTGTCCTTAAAGACATAAAAAACGCCGGTATACGGTGGTTCGGATGCTCAACCTGGGCATTCTGTTTCTGGATTGCTTGCTTCTCCATTTTGTTCGCGAGACCCTGATCGGGAGGAATTTCCTAGGAGCAAGGTGGTGCTTGGGCTAATTGGGTTGGTCTGTGTTGACCGGCTGCAAGTACTGCGCGTCATATAGTGTCCGTCGTCACCGCTTAGAGATCCACCAGGCGGAGGCAGAAGAATGCTTGGTGTGTCTATAGCGTCATCCGATTCCGACCGTAATGGCTTAGAAGCTACGGGGTTGAGTCTCCGGGCATGGGTAATGTCAGTAGTAATGCGAGTAGGGTCAACAAAATCTGGAAATCCGTTTGAACCTATGGTGAAGTCCAAGCAGCATGAACGGGAACTAGCCAAGTGTACCAACTGTCCCAGAACGGCGAACTCCAATTTTAGCTTGATACTGTATATCATTACCCTGATCGATGGTTCGTAGAGGTATAGATTTGCATATACCGCGGCGAGTAGTCCGACGTCCATCACGGTTACGATTACATTGATGCTGATAAGTTGCCACATGATCCTCCTATTTCCCCTATCTAGAGAAAGCCTCAACATTTTTACGGTTTCCCAAATGTAGAGCGTTGATATGATTAACTCTTGGACGCAAAATACTGTCATCTGTACTTTCTCTATGGCGATGTAGGCTTCGAGAAACGATTCGCGTACCATCAAGCGAATTGAGACGATTGCACCGGGCAGATGGAAGATGACAGCGTTGGCAACGATCATAAACAGAACAAGGCGGAGGACTTTGGTATTACGTAGGACTAGATAGAGCCTTGAATAGAGAATAAGGGATTGGCCTGTTGTCGTCACCCACCAGCCAACGGAAACCAGAGTGACCAGAGGCCATTCCGAATCGATCGGTGGTGCGAAATATCCAAGCAGGAACCCGATGGAGTAAGGCACAATGCCTGCTGATGTTGAAAGTAGCAAGCTCCAAAAATATAGACCTTTGAATGTGCGGAAGGCGACAAAAATCAGAACGAACAGTTCTAACGCATTATACAAGCTGACAGCGAGGACGCTTGCAATGGCAATCCGGGTGCCCAAAGGTAATGGGGGTAGGTCCATGACGTTCTCAACGGTGTTATTCGCCATTTTAAACCGGTTTCCTGTCCTGTCGACTTAGAATCGTTGATGATTTGGGAGAACGCGTTGAGGTACGGGGCGAGCTCTGGGACAGGGGGCATAGGTTCAGGGATTGTAGATTCACGTTTCCCAAATCATTTTTAGAGGGGAGAGATAGGGCCACGGGGTACGCGCAGAAAGAAATCAAGCATGGAAGCCGTTGGAAAACGAGGGTGAAGATTATGGCGAGGTCGTTTGTGAAGGCGATGATGTTGAAGATTGTAAAGACTGAGAGCGGAGAGAAATGCGAACAGGAGCGCTCCTAGGATTTGAAGGAAGACAGGGACGACGATCTCCACGGTCGGGGCTACTATGTAGAGTGGGCGGGCTTAGACTATGATTGCTTTCTCCGTGGCCCAAGTGAAACACGGCCCGATTCCATTCCCAAGAAATCCGTTAGAGAGTGGGTGGGAATTGACTGGTGTGTGGTCCCTGGGGACTGAGGTGGGCAATCAGACTGGATAGAGCCCGGAGGGTTTCTCTTTAATATGCTAGCTCTCACTCAGCCAGGAGTGATCGACTATAGTACCTAGGCTCCTCGATAGCGTTGAAAGGTATCTCCATCCTCCTACTGCTTATATACGGATGCGGCTATGGATACCGTAGGCACGGTACTTTGTAGGGCATACTTTTCGATGACTTCGCTCTCCGGTTTACCATAGTAAACCCAAAGGAAACAAAACCCACCTTTTTGCGAGTGGTTAATTCTGAGGCTATTTCTTCTAGTCGCGATGTGATGTGGGGGTTTGAAGTGAGCCTAAGTTGGCGTTGGTTCGACGTGATGTTGCCGTAGGCTTTGGTTGGACGTCAGCATTCAAAAAATTTGAGAGGTTCGGAAAACGGTAGGTTTATACGCTGGTATATATAGCTGACGGGCTTCCTCAGCAACCTACTCGCTATCCGCGCCTCTCATCCTGCCAAACGCGTCCTGATATCGGTCGAACAGTGCCTGAGAACACCGTGGCGAATGGCATCACAGCCAAACCTGCCCCTCATAATGTTGACACAAAATTGCACGTGTGTGGTGTACGCTGTAGACTCGAAAAAACAAACGTTAATCCTTAAATGTGTGCCCCTTACTAGCTTACCAACGGCGGTGAACCCCAAAGAAAGGGGCGAAAACTGTCGGGGATAATGAACTGCCACCTCACAAGCCAATGATATCGTCAAATATCAGCAGATCTGGCGTTGGTTCAGTGACTCGTTGCCGGGGCCTTGACATGGAAGCCGGTCACTTTTACTCTATATGGGGTACTCCGTACTAGCAAGCAGAAATCTCCTCTGTGAACGGGCTCGATGGTTCCTCAGAACCCTGCTATGTGGCTTTCATAGTACGGAGTACATCAACGTCCGTGCAGCGCACATTTCCAGTCTGAGAAGACCATCCAAAAAAAAGCAATTTAGGATAGCCATTTCACCACTAGCACAATCCAACTATTTTTGGGCGCCAGTTTGAACGGAAACCCTCTTGCTCAACTGGGAGTTCCAGTTTCGACATTTCATCATTTGCTTCAGTGGGCAACAATGGGCATTAAAGCAGAAAACTGTATTGTATCCGTGAGTTTGACAAGAGGACGACGTAGCAGCCCCAGACGGGGAGCCATCGCTGACCGGAAGGAACACTTTTAAAAAGCTAGAAGATGGCCAAAAAGAACCAAAATTCCATTTGAAATCAACATTTATTCTTAGAATTATTTTTTGGAAATGTGCAACTCACTCCCAGAGAGATTATCACACACAGACATCGATCCGTTGAACCAAGGCTGCAAGGCACGTTTCATTGGGCAGGGCCGTCCAATCGAGATCTCTAAGAGTTCGTCGCTCCAAGCTTGTATGATAGTCCGGAGACATCAGCGGGACAGGCAGTCGGCCAAATAATATAGAAAGCTGAATTCACCCTGACCTTTCATAAAATCTACGCTGCGTAATCAAGCTATCTCCAGAACGCGTGGATTCCTCATGTAGGGTCATTTCTAAACTTGAAGGCCCGAAGAACTTCGGCTGGGGGATGGGGAAAAGAGAAGCATCTTGCTGAAGAATAATAGAAGCGGTCACGTCCGAATACAAGTTGCAAGCATCCATATTCTTTTCTTTTTTCATTTTCTTCTTTTGTATCTTTATTTGCTTTTTACCCTTTGTTTTTATTTTTTCCTTCTCAGAGAAAGCTGGATACAGTCGTTCTGGAAGTGTGTCGTGGGCCTAGGGCGCTCGGTCGTGGGGAGTTCAAAAACCCAATCAATATGCACCTGTGGCGTGGAAAGCAGGCTTCTTGCGACAAGTTACGCTCAGCAGGGAACTAGACAGAGAAGGTGAAAAACATCATACTGCGGACGCAGTCCTACGTACGGAGCACACGACGAAAGTATCCAATCCAGATACCCATAGAGCAGTCCAAAACTAGTCAATAATGGAAAGTCTCTCGGGACCACCCACTCACAACGCCCGTGGGCCGCATCAAAACAATCCGGCCACAGTCCGGTAAAAACTTGCCTTGAAACATAATCCTTTGGCACCAACAAGGACGACGCTCAGCTCCCACCCCCATTCTTATTATTATCCCCATTCCCGGACATACCGCCACTCATGCTCACATCGGCATTACGCTGCGTATTTCCATCCAGTGAACCTGCTCCGCCCGTTGTGCTTCCACCAGTAGCTCTCAGTACCCTCTCAACCTCCCCTTTACACTCTGGCATGGCGCTCGCCATCTCCCGTGCCAGAATATCCCGAAAACTAGCAAAGGCTTCCGCCTTTCCCTTCAAATCCTGATTGCCGCGTTGCACAAGCTCAACGAATTCTCGCGTGTAAATATCCGGGTTACGTGCTGCGTCGACGTAATCTATGATTTCTGGAGGAAGTTGGACGGATTGGAGGGGCGGGTCGGGATCATTTATGCGTAGGGATGGTTCGGAAGGGGAGGCAGTCGGGTCAGGGCGGGAATGCTCGGAGAGGGTTGAGAGGGAGAGCGTTAAGGACTTTCTGTGATTGTGGCTTGAGTTAATTTTATCCCAGGCTTTCTAACAGTGAGAAAGTGATGTAAACTGTATCATAAAATGACGCAACTTCTCGTTTCCAACAGGTAGCCACATTTTCAACGAAAAGGGGGCTATGATTTACAAAGGGAGTAATCGCTCACATTTTCCGCACAAGCTCCTGCTGTGTTTCAGGGCCCAGATATCCATGGACGGCGGATTGGATTTCGAAAAGGTGCTGAATTACATCCTTAAGATCATCTACTCAAAATAAAATGCAAAAGAGCAATTAGCAACATCTTCAAGTGAAAAGCATACAGCACCTAATTTCTTCCAAAAAGACATGAAATGCTGGATACAAAGATATCATATCTATCAAGAGCAACATACTATCGATCCCACTCAAGGTCACTGGCGCCATTCGCGAGGGGCGCCCAGTTAGGCAGCGTTCACGCCTAGTTCGTAAATTGTCTCAGCTCCACTTCTTGCGGTAATGTGTCCTCCCAACTTCATGGAGCTGTTTGTTGTCCGGGTAGGAAATTAAAGTGGATTGCAATCGGGTTTGAGATGTGAGTGAGCGTGGAATTCGCGCGGCAATCCTGAAGAAATGACCCCACATGCAGAGCCGGGAAGAATGAAAACTAGTACATATATGATCTGCGCTAAACCTTAAACGATCCACAGTGACTGACATCTGGAACTCTCTGGCCATGTACAACATCCACGGAGATGGGAGTTGTTTGCGCAAATAAGTTTAAATAGTTTGCGTTACTCGCCGGCTGAAAAATAAATAAATAAATAAATAAATAAAGGTATCAGAGCCCTTTGACACGAAATCAAATCTATCCTTCGGCCCAAATTGATCTTTGCCCGCGGGCATATGTAGAATAATTAATAGTTTTATACAATCAAGAGGAAACAAGCCTGAGAAGACATCTATATCCTAGGGTAAACTTTGAGGAAGAAATATTTACGAGTAAATAAATGTAGAATAAGACGGCGAGGAGAGGGGTGAAAAGATACGCAAAAGTATAGAGGGGTCAGAATGCTGTTGGGATGAGAATCGAGAATGCCGAATAAAATTCGGAATTAAATGTGGAGGCCAAGAAGATAAAAAATAGAGATATTTATGGCTCCTGCTTCTATTATTGTAAAACCAAAATGATCAAGAATTGTAACAATAAAATAAACAGTAGGTACACGGGGGCAGAAAAGCACTGGGCCTTGTTGATCAGAGGCTCTTCACTGGTATCGCAATAATAGCATTGGGGCAGGATGAAAAATATAGAAATGGAAGGAAGGAAAATATAGAGTTATCTGAGAAGAATGAAAGAGAAAAATAATTAATTCCATTAAAAAAAAAAAAAAAAAAAAAAAAAAAAAAAAAAAAAAAGGTATCATCGTTCCTTGCTTTACACCTCCTTCGTCCTCATAGTAGAGACGCGAGGAGGTGGTACATCTATTTCCGTCTCCACTAGCTCTAGACCAGACAAACTTGGGTATCTTTTACTGAAATTCGCCTCCCAGTTGTCATTTGGGCCTGTTGGCTTGATCATCTCTATGGAAGACTTGCGGTCCCTAGCAACTGTGGTTGACGACGGGGGGTTTTCAGGCCGGTTGCCGGTACGCAGCTTCTGTGGTTTTGGAGGTGCGGGGGGTTTCTGATCCGCGGCGGTGATAGTAGCACGTGATGTAAACAGCTCAGATGGGGTTGGCTGCTGGGGTCGCACAGACGCAGGAAGCGGTTGAACCGATCGTGGGTCCTTTGGTAGCAGTCGAGGAGGTTGCTCGGGGGTATGTTGTTGTTGTAATGCGACGGGTTTTCGGGGGATGTTGAATGGTACGGGCCGTGGTGAGAGAGAGGGTTGTTCAAACTGCTTCGCCTGCAAAGCAGTTTCTGTATCAGTGTATCGTCCATATCCAGTTGCAGTTTTAATCGTTGGGTGTCTATCGTTTTCTTTGAGGAGTGACTGGACCTTGCTCTGAATTGATGCTGATCTTATTCCTTCAATCCTTCCCCCACTGAGTCCCCCATCCTCCCCCCGTTCAGCTAACCGTTGGCGATACTCAGCCGCAGCATTTGCGACCCGCTTCTCTTCCTGTGATAAACGTCGTCGCTCCAGCTCACGACGCATTTCTGGTGAAATATCATCGTTATTGGTTTCATGGATATCATCGCTCATTTCGGTAACTTCTGAGCCTGTTATTGGGGTGAGACGTGCATTCATATTGTCAGGAGACGGAGTACGGCTTGTCCTTTCCTGTGCTGTATTACTCTCAAAACGACGGAAGGCATCGCCAAACCGTCCAGCAAGTAGATTCTTAGTTCCAGATAGAGATATAGACGATAAACTGGAACGTTTAACATGCTTTGGCCCGCTGCTGACACGTTTCTCCCGTTTTCGGTTTGATTCCTCTACTTCTTTGGCACGTAAGAAGTCAATGTCTGACGATATGTTTGCTCGCTCATAGTCACGGTCCGTCTCAGACTGTGAGTGATGCAAGGCGTCACCTCCCTCGTATCCAACCCGGGAGAAGCTGGAATCGAAAGCTACTCTTGGGGTATCAACATCACGAAGGTAGTCCGGCCTGGATCCAACGAAAGCGCTGGTAGGTCGGGCCTTCGAGTTTGCGGATTTGGAACGGGTGGTGGGATCACTGATATCAAGGGTAGAAGGTCGGGATCCCTCTAGCGACGGTCTGGAAGAAACGGGGGATGTTGGCAAATCTTCATACGAAAGCTTCTGTTTGGATTCACGTTTGAAAAATCCACCTCGTGATGTATAGCCATCACGACTGCCGGAGGCTTTTTCATTGTCACTCTCCAATTGTTGGACGGAAGGTCGCCTTTCAAATGAGGAATTTGGATATTTATGTACAGGTCGTTGAGAGAAAGGTGGACTATCCGATGGACGCAAGCGTGGGGAAGGAGTTGTCATTGTCCCAGTAGACACCATGACCGGCTTTTGAGGAATAGGTTGATGTAGTGGAGTGGCTTGCTGTCGTGTCAATTCGGCGCGTAAGTCAGGAGATGGTATCGAAATCTTCTCCTCTAACGGTTTATCGCCGAGAGATTGGGACTGTGGTCCTATTGCCGGGGTCATTTGTGGTACAGCCGTCGGGTTCGCTTTGGCAAACGCCTCATCGGCGAGAGCATTGGTTATTCGCTTAGAAAGATCTTCCGTAGGTGTCTTGGTCTCTGTCACTGTCGGCTCAAATTCAAATTTGGACCCTTGCTCATGGAAGAGCGAAAATTCGTCCAAGGTTGGGAACCTGGAAGAGAGCTCATCACCGTTGGGGACTTTGCCCCCATCGAGGATAGCGAACGGGTCATTTGAAGTGGCCCTTAAAGGTGACGGGCTGGGCTTAGCTGAATTTTGATGCGAGGTAGATTTAGTCGGTCTCCCTCGCCTCATAGGAGCAATGTCAGGAATAATCTGCGTCTCCTGTATGGGCGGGGAAAAAGTCGCCCCTATTTTTGGTGTTTGGTTAGGAGATGGTGGCAGTTCTTGGTAACACCTTGCCTCGGAATGTGAACGCCCAGAGTAAATCTAGATCAAATCAGAACACTGTAGTTCATTAACGGGAGAGCCAAAGTAGAATATAGCACTTACGTCTTTGATAGGCACTTCTTTGCCTCGCATGCGACATGCCTCCTGTAGTACTTGATATATATTCGGTCGCTTTTGTGGGTCCTCTCGGAGCATAGACGCTATTTTTTAAAAGCCGGTCGTTAGAATAACAGTACTAGAGGAAAAACCAAAAAGGTTTTCCATCAGTCTTCGATATATCATACCTATAAGCAATTTTAATCTGTTGGAGAAAGGGGGATATGCAGGGAATTTAAATTTGGCATTAAGGATCGCCATCTGCCCAACCTCCTCGAAGGGAGTAGTATAATAACAGAGTTTGTACAGAAGGACGCCCAGCGCCCATATATCACTCTTCTCATCGATTGGTTGTTTGCGATAAACGTCAATCATCTCCGGGCTGCGATATTGTAAGGTGGTATGGCGCTGGACATCGTCCTCTATCAGCCTTCCTTCAGCAGCAGTAGTAGCAGCCGGACGCGGCGGCGCCGTCGACCCGAAGTCGCATAATTTGTAGCTGAACGAATTCCCATGCAGCGCTATCAAGACATTTTCGACTTTGAGATCCCTATGGAGCAAAGGCGGTTTAAGGTAGTGCATACAAGCGGTACCCTCGGCGACGTCGTTGAAAATCTTCAAGATCTCAGGCTCCGTCAGGCGATTTTGCAACCGAGTATTCATAAAATCGATCAAGCCACCTCCAGCACAGAACTCCATGAGAAGGAAAACCTCATACCCACCGCCCTTTAGCTGGGACGCGTGAGAGTCAAAGTATTTGACAATATGCTTATGCCCCTTCAGCTTCTTCATGGTTTCGACTTCGGTCCGCATATTTGCCAACGCGGCTTTGTCCGGCACTGCAACTCTCTTCAGTACGGCAGTTTCAGCGCCATCGATCGGTTGCGGGAGGCGGACAACGTAGACGTGCGCGAACCCTCCCTCAGAGAGGTACTTCTCGATGACAACACGGTGGCTTCCGACTTGGACCTTCGTTCCCGGGGCGAAGGTCCCAGCCGGCGGTACAGCCATTGCCATAGTAAATAGTCGATTGGTCTATCCAGGGCCACAAACAAAATGGGAGTTGGTGGGGAGGGACTCGATATCGCAGGCTTCAAGAAAGGGGGGGTTTAACTGGAACGAGGCGGTGGAGTAGAGTGCTACTATGGTATCAGTGAAAACGCCCCATGAAAGGGCAGCGAGGGGCAAACGCTGCGCAGAAAATTAGAGAAGCTGCATTGAAAAGGAAACAATCAAGGGAAGCACAAGAGGCAAAGAGAGATAGGCCCCGGAACTCCCTGAGACAACAGTGGGTGACTTGGGAGAATGATGCAGCTCAATGATCCCAACCAACTTGTGATCGTTGGCGGTCATCAAACGCTCAAGCAGCCTGGCCAATCAGACAAACGCACGACCGAGCGGTGGAATATTTCGCCGGTCTCCGGGATCACCGCCTTCCGCTTCTCAGTGTCACAACGCCGAAGTCAAAAAATATCTAGCCAAGTATGGATGGTATGGGTATTGGAGTCAGGTTGTTGTTGCCTGACACGACACACACTGACGCTGACACGGCCATCAAATTCTACTGCCTACGATATTCCGCAGCCTAGTGCATTAGAAATACCATGATGGAGAGAGAAGTAAGCCGAGGGTGGTGGATTTGCGATCTACCTTCGTCTAGGAAAAAGTAGTAGGCCGAGCATACCAATATCATAGGCAGAAATGTCGGCGTGAGTCACGCTTCGATAATACTACGGATGCTGCTTCTATGACATGTGCGATTTATTTGTTCTTTGATGTTCAACTTCCCATGAGTCTATTTTAAAAGTTGCGAAATTTTCAGGTGACTTCTTACTGTGTTTAAGTGTATATTGCGCAGCTTGTAAAGGGGGTCATAACGTCGTGCCAAAGTTGGGTGGTATCCTATCTAAACATAAAATAGCATAAGGACAGAAAAGAAAACAATATAAAATAAGTATTAGAGGCCATATTGAAAAGTGAGCATCTCATCTCCCCGTCGCACACGGGCATCCTCTCCACCCATCCCCAACAGCTTCACTCCAATCCAGTACCTCACGCGCGAATCCCACCATGTCCCTCCTACAACAGCCAAGGGAGGAACTTTTCCAAACCCACCAACACCCGAGAGGTGGACAGAGGATGAATGATCAGTTTCTAAATCTACAGCCGTAGCTCTTAGTGTCGCTGCGGAAAACCTAGATCTGGTATCATTTATCACACGTACCACCACCCAGAGCGCTACAAACCCCACGAAACTAAGCAACACGAAGCCCAATGTAATGAGTAATGGAATGCGATAGGCATCCTGCTGGAAGCGTGGGGAGAAGATAAGAGACGCGAAGACTCCCGCTAGATTCCCGTACCCGTTTATCCCTAGGACCATGGTTCGTTTTCCCGGGTTCGGAATGTTGCTTGCCAGCCATGTTACGGTTAGTGGGCTGGGGATGTAGCTTCCGCTCAGAAGTACACATAGAGAGAAATATATAGCTGTAGCCCTGGCTGGGGAAAGGGGTGTAGAGGAAGAGGACGATGAAAGAAAAACCGTAAGAAGTAGGCCGAGAGCTATCACCATGAGGCTTGCTAATATTGGGATGATGCGTTTCCGTGACTTATCGCTCCAATGGCTGAAGATATAGAGGAATATTGACGCGAGAAGGAATGGAGGAGCGGTGAGAAGGTTGCTGAGGGTGGGGGATGAAAGCTGAAGGGAGGATAGAACCAACGGAAGAAAAACGGAGAAGCCAGTGTTAGGGATAGCAGAAGCAATATTGAGAAGGAGAATCGGGAGCATTAGAGGTAGAAATAGAACCGTGGATAGGAGTTCCGACTTGGATAGTCCCGAGTCTGATGAAACGTTGGAGCTCACCCAAGGCTGCTTCTTAGTGCTGTTATGGTCTGGTAAGAGCCGAAGTCGCTGTTCATCATCAGGCCCAGTTAGGGTTTCTTCTTCTAGAAGCTCATCTGACAATGTCGTGGAATTCAAGGCTTCTTGACTCTGACAATCAGCGTCCGCCCGATCAACAAGGATGCGCTGTTCTGCGTACGCTCGCTCTTCTTCATTCAAAAACCAAGCAGTTCCCACGCTTCGGGGCAGCCAGAAAAACCCGATGATCGCAATTACAATAGTTAGGCATCCTTCAGCCAAGAAGAGAATTTGCCATGGCCTTAAAGTTCCTGGGTGTGAATCTGAGGCAGTATCACTGCCGTCGATGGGTTCTTCACTTGGAGGGAAACGAGAGAAAACAGAATACGCAATTACTCCTCCAAGAGCTCCTGCTACTCCGTACGACCCATAAAAGAGCCCAAGTCGACGTCCAAACTCGAAACGGGTGTAAAACAGCGAAAGGTAGGATACCGCAGTAGGGTAGAAGCCAGCTGCAAGGAGCAGGAATGTTAACCATATTGTATAACAAGGAATTGTAAACCCGTCTTATTAAGGTAATCAAGCGCTATGTATCTAAAAACAAGGAAGAAACTCTCACCTTCCAAAGCCCCGAGTACAACCCTCAACAAAATAAGCTGCCATCTATGTCGGACCCACATATGCAGCAGCGTGCAAACTCCCCAGAGCGTCATAACACTCGGCACCCATCTGCTCATTCCGAACTTTCTTCCCGCCGCAGCCCCGACGGGCTGCAGAGCAACAAAGAAGACAAAAAACCATGCTACCGCCGCATTCAAATCTTCAGGTTGTAGCCCGACGTCACGAGTGAAATGGGCTGTTTCGGCATTCCCAATATTAGAGCGGTCGAGGGAATTTACAAGGAATAGGACAGAGAGAAACGGAAGGAGGATGAAATCGAGCTTGCGGACGGTGCTGGTATGGATTGATCGGTCTGGTTCCGCACTGCGGTTTTCGGCTGTCGGCATCATTGCGTGTTATGTCACTTGCTGGTCATTATTCCTACGGGATGTAGGGAAAGGCCGTTAAACAACATGATGGTTGAAGGGCGATATTGAAAGAAATAAAATGGCCCCCTGGCTCCAACCATATCCGCTTGGCCTTTGGTTGGTTGTTTCATGAGCCTTTGGGGTGTGGCCGTGTGGATTGACGTCGTATCTGGGGACAGGGGATTGGTCGTTCTTCACCATTTCGAGCCAGGTGAGCAAAATCACGTGGCCCAGCTCTTTCTTTCAGCGCCAACGGAGTTCCACAACTAATAAGAAAATTGAAGGAATGGACGGGGAACAGGATTCTACTACATCAGATCATCCCAGCTGATCATCATGCATAGAGCTCGGGAGCTTTCAATAATGCTATCCAGGGTGAAACTAGCTGAACGAGTTCTAGCTGCTGGAAGCCCGCTTACCCGTTGACCTTGGCGAAACAATCAAAACCGCCGACCAGCTTTTATAACTATTATAGAATACTCGGAAGAAAATCCCGTTGATCGTTTGGAGAACTATCAGGGAGCTTCAATCAGCATGTTGGTAGAGCGGTTTTGGGTGTATCATTTACTGCATTTACGTGGAATTGAAATATATATAGCTATGTATATATGGTATGGTTCATCTAATATGACATGAACCCTCTCCTATGATTCAATGATAATCGAGTTCGAATGGCAAACTCACCAGAGCTAAAGCTAAATACAAGCGCATCACTCAGCTCCCATAACTCGCAAATTAGACCTAATCGAGGAGGTTGACCACACCGAATAATGAGCAAGAAGCAATGCTGGGAACAAACAAATGGCAGCCCTCTGTGACTTCTGTGATGATGCCAAAAGGTGAATGCCAAGACCACCAAGCGCTGCCAAACACGTCAAACACACCGCCTTTCATGTAGCGTGGGGCGGCAACATTCAGCAAATTGAGCACACAGCCAATCAGCTGCTAGTAGCTAGGTTACGAGGATGTGCCAAGTCACGCTTGGTCAGAACAAGAAAAAAGTAAACAAATGAAAAAATACAACCTCCACGCCATCAGCAGTGAGCAAATCCTCGAAGAAATTGACAAGTAATGTTTTGAGGAAGCCCTTTGCATAGAAATAGGGGATCGTAAAAGGTGAATGGGAAATGAATGTAATTCCTGTGTCTCGCACATATCGTATCCATTGGTATGGGGGAGAGGAAAAAGTAGGAAAGCTGTGACTATCCGTCGTTACATTTTGCGTTGCACATCCCTCCGTTGGGCGGAAAAGAAATGCAGTCCAATGACAAGCTCCATTTAAAGAATAGTTGGCCAATCGGTTGGGAGTAAACTCCGCTGTCGAGTTCAGTCTGAGGCTCACCGACAAATGGAAAGGAAAGCCAATGCACCATGACTCGACAACCTCGCGCGATGATTTGGCCAATGTGTCAACATGCGGGGAGGATGGAGGCACCTTTTGAAAGAAATATGTAAACAAACAAAACCCGCAGTTGTCTGCCTGAACGGTTCGCCAGGTGGGCTTCTGTGGGAATTTTTGCATTGTGTGATTTGGTGAAGTATCAGCAAGGAGATAAATTCAGGACTCAGTGTACAGATTAGTGGCAGAGCCCAATTGGAGTTTTTTCGTGAGAAAAAAGCTAGCGAAGACAGACAAATGTGGTGGTTAGAAACTAAAATATTTGCTTTTTCTTTTCTCTTTCTGCTGAGGCGCGCTCGAATGTTGAGGCTCCCCCAGCAGCAGAAAAATCCCGCTGAGTTTCCCCGGCGACCTTGCAGGGGGTCTGCGGAGAGACGACGGCTTCATCCGCACGCTTAATCGAACGACCACGAAGCAATCAGAATTTGAAAAAAAGGCCATAACAATATTAATAAACCATTAATCCAGAATAATAACTCCGTCAATCCTTTTCAGAACCTTCTTTTATCCCCAGGTTACTCAGTTGTCGATTGCTCTTCCTCTTTGTCACACCTCACTACTGCCTTCTGCCTGGTTCCTGGCCCTGGACGAGCCCGCATTGTTTCGAGAACTTGGTCCGTTCGGAAATCTTACGATAATACAAGGTTGGTAAACTTCACATCCTTCCTTTTCGTCTCTCTTTTCTCCCTGGGTTTCGTCGTGTTTGCTGTTGGTGTTTGGTTCATGTTGGGTTCTGGTGGCAACTTGAGAACTTTTCTTTTGAAAATACGATTTTATGCTCATATTGTTTGCAGACTGCCTGCTCTTTTCTTGTAAATACTCAGGCATAAGAGCTAGCCGTCCTGGTTTATAATCCCCCACAAAAACATACATTAATTCGAATTCAGCAGCTTATCTTACTTGAGCTACGCCGCTTTCCACCACTTACACCACCAATTCGACTAGTTGGGATATTTTTAAGATCTTCCAGGCAGAACCACCTACCTCAACAACCTCAACAGGTGCAACGTTGGGATTGGGGCCCAAGTGCCACCCCAATATATGGCTGATCATGAAGACATCCCCCATTGCTCCTAGATCTCGACTGGTACGGATTGTTCAAAGGGTATAGGAAGTATTGTCATAGAATCTACAGGACAGAAAATTTGAGCTGTCCTCTAAGTTTCAATTACGCATATACGCTCAATATTCACGACATTTGCATGCACTTCGCGATCTGACTTTACTTTTTTCGCCGCAAGAATGGACGGACCCCCGCCACCTCCCCCACCTCATGGGACTCCACCAGGAGGTAGGCCACCTCCCAATGCAAACGGCGGATACCGCAAATCGACAGACCTTCCGGAAGGGCCATATGATATTTTCATTGTTCCTCCCCATTCATCAGGCTCTGGCTTCATATACCTACCCTCCCTGCAATGCCACAGGAACAGCTTTCTGGCAGGAGTTGCGGCCACTTTGGTTGGAGTTGCAGTATACGTGTGGGTGGTGCCACTTATGAAAACTTGGGTTTCAACCGTTGCTCAAAGTGGTGACACAAGCGTCTTTTTGATTGTTATAGTGGTTGGAGTTGCTAGTTGGGCATGGGGAAGGTCACAGATACATCTCAGCGGAACACCCCCACCGCCCCCACGAGGTAGCCCTAGGTCTCCTCCCTCTCCTCCTCCCCCAGGGGGAGGAGGAGGTCCGCGAGGTCCACAGCACGAACCGCCTCCCTCATCAGGCCCTAATCATAACTCCGGGGGAGGACCCCACTATCAAAACTTCAATAGTCAGTACCCAGGGGGAGGCTATGGGAATGGCCCTAACCCTGGTGGACAATACAACGGTGGCCCGTTCCCCGGGAGCCAGTATCCTGGAGGCCATCGGTATACACAAGGAGAAGGAACTCCGGGATCTAGCGAATCCCCTCCACCACCTCAACCTCCCCCACCGCCCCAATCCCCTCCAGACCCACCACCAGCCACACCGCCCAAGCAGCCTCAGAATGACACTCCCAAACCGAAAGACACAGACTGGGAGAAAGCGAGGGAAGAAACAAAGCGAAAAGAAGACATAAGACGGAAGATGGAGGAGTTCCGGAAGAAGAGAGAGGAGGAGGAGAAGGAGAAACAAAGACAACGAGAGAAGGAGGCACGAGAAAGGGAATTCCGTGAGAGGAAGGAGAAGAGAGAAAAGGAACGGCTTGCTAAGGAAGCTGAGGAAAAGGAGGCTGCAGAGAAAGCTGCCAAAGAAAAAGCAAGGCAAGAAGCTGCTGCTCGGTTCGCCGCTGCTCGAGAGGCGGCTGCTGCCAAGAGAGCTGCAGACAAGGCAGCCGCGGAAAAACTTGCAGCTGAGAAGCTCGCAGCTGAGAAACTTGCGGAAAAACTTGCGGCAGCGAAGTTGATGGCGGAAAAGTTGGCAGCGGAGAAATTGGCAGCGGAGAAACTGGCAGCGGAGAAGCTAGCAGCAGAGAAACGAGCAGAATCGGTAAAGCAGGCACCATCCCCAAAAACTCCCCCAAGAACGCCTTCTCCGCAGAAAAAACCGCCGCCATTCCCATCTGCTAGAACTGAACTTGACGACGACGCATACTCATTTCGTCCCTACGATCGACCCAAGAAACAACCATCCGCACCCTCGGTATTCTCAGAGTCATCATATGCACCGTCGCAATCGACAGCACGAACAACTCCACCCCCCTCTCGACGAGGACCATATTCCACCAAAGACCCCGATAAGATCATTATTTCTGGTGTGTATGTATTCAACAACACTTTTATGAGGACACCCGTTGGACAACTGGTGTCCGGGAAGGGACACGTGACCGATGGTTTAATCCTGCGCATCACGACTGAAGGAATGTTCGTAGACGATGATATTAGAGGCGTAGCCCAACGCGAATGGGACATCAAGGCATGGACAATGAAGCTTGTAGAGGTATGGTGCCCCCAGCTCGGTACGAACCCTCCTCCCACCCGCCCAAGCCCCGTGAAGGCAAATCCCTTCCGGTTCAGCACGTCCTACGCGCACAAGGTTCCCAGCAGTGAGGAATCTGACGCGTATCTGGCAAACCTGCACAGGTCTTGCAAGAACCAGTGCCGGCTGGGGGCTACGTCTTCCGGAATGGGACCCCTCAATGGCAATAGCAAAAGCAGAATCATTGATGATGGAGACCTCCTGCAGAGCGCGGAATTGCGTGGCTTCCACGTCGTTCGTGCAAGCCTCAGAGACCAGGAAGGCAAGAAATATGTCTTCGTCTTGCAGGAGACTGAGGCTTGGAAAGTAGCAATCGGGCTGCAGCGTTTGAAGAAAGGGAGTCAAGTTAGGGCATTGGGTGTGTGTGGCTTGCCTGCTAACGAGACCAATGCTGTTCTTGAGAGTCTGGGGTATATCGCAAATTGATGGTGATGGTAGTTTTCCAACTGCCCTTCAGGTCAGCGATCAGGTAAGCCTCTATTCCCCGTGTGGAAGTTTTAAAGAATGCCATGAATGATTTTGGCCATTGGAACAAGAGGTGCTGACCATCAATTAGATAACCTCCAGTCGCCACATCCCTGAATTCTTGTGTTTGTCACCCTGCGGCTTGTTCAATTCTTGTGTCTATTTCCTGTTGTTTTCGATGATTTTCTTTCTTCCTTGTTTCAGCCCTTCGCCAGGCACATCCATAATATGCATCTTCTCAGGTCATTTTAGCGATGGAGTTTAGAGTGCATATATCATTCATTCGCTCAGTCATCCTTTTGTCCTCTGGCGCGCATTCTCTTTAGATGACTCCCCTGCTGCAATAGCCCTTTCCATGTTTTTAAAGTTACCTGGCGTTTGATGATTACCATTCTCCTCACCACCTAGTCGTCGGTCTTACCTTCCTTTATCTGTCTTTAAGCGTCCCCAGTTCTGTTTTTGTTTTTCTGTTTTTTTGTTTTTTGTTTTTTTTTTTTTTTTTTTTTTTTTTTTTTTTTTTTTTTTTTTTTTTTTTTTTTTTTTTGTTTTGGCATGGAACTCGTTTTTGCCGCCCCGTACATCTATGACCTCGAGTTATGTGTGAACGCATGTTGCCATAGACCAATTTGGTCTGGACATCATACGCTGGTGTGTACAGTGCACATAATTTTGGAAATATTCTAGTTAATACCTTTGGGAAATATTTTTTTTGATATTTATAGTTTTTTAGTCGCACCTAGCTCATTGACTTCTTTTCCTTGACCATCAATTAGTCCCCCGCTGGGCTATAGCAACAAACGATTTCTAATTATTCCACCCCCAGGAAGCTGATGCGGAGGATTCGGTCTTGCCGCGTAACCATGAATTTATTTCGAGGTATGATAACCGAATCATTCGGCAGGCGGCGCTAGGACGCCAGCCCAGATTTTCTGCAACATTTCAGCCACAAACTCTTCCAAAATGAACACAAACCAGCGCATCTTCAAACAACCAGATCCGTGAACAAATAGGACTGGAACTCGCGTCCAATCAATGGCACATGGATCGATACACAGTTGCTTATTATGAGCTGTCTGCATTCTCTAATCCGGAACCCCTCTTTTCAAGATGCAGATTCCAGCCCCCCGCTCAGCAAGCCATTTCCGTCAAAAAAAAAAAAAAAAAAAAAAAAAAAAAAAAAAAAAAAAATTGGTAAGCTTGAGCTGATGTGAGGTTAAAATAATGTGGCTGCCTGCTCAACTGTGGATAATCCACGCACTCACCTCCATCATCACCTCTATCTGAGGTCTCTAAAAGCTCAACCCTACCAGTTTTGTTCTCAGGAAGGGAATCGACCGCGGACGGGGAGTCCCCGCGCTGGATGCTTCGGACGCTGTGATGTTTTGATTTGGTCTGCGGAACTGATTTTTGAGACCTTCGTTCTGATTTGCCCCACGCTCCAGGATCAATCTTCACAAAAACTGATGTACGACATGATTTGCGGGACCTAAGTGGTCTGAAGTTTGGGAATCCCCAAACTTGATTCTTGTTTTTATTTATTCTCTCTCTCCTTGAGCTGCTTGCGCTGTGGTTTTGTGTGCCAATGGCACTGTACGAGGCCCGCTGAACAACTGTAGCAGCACTGGCGTAGCATTGTCCTTCCCGGGTTCTTCTTTTCTTTTCTTTTTAAAGAAGGAAAAAGCGCCCCTACCCTTGATTGACTGAATTATTTGCCTCGTCTGACGGGTTGGTTGCAGACTTGGCTCGGCTAGGTGTTCCAAGCAAGGCCCTTTATATACGGCGTTCCCTCACCCTGTCTTGTATTCGAAGCTTGTCTCTTGCCCCTCTCACCCGACCTGCTGATAGAAACAAGAAGTGTTTTCTATCGATCTATTCAACGCCGCAACGCTTATTCTCCAGCCCAATAAGGATCGGATTGGGAAATTTTGAATATTATGTCCTCATACTCCGACCAGCCAAGGTATCGGGATGATCCTTCCGCGAACGAGAAGGATATCCTAGCTGCTGAATATAATACTGCAGCCTTGGAAGATGCAGAAGCATGCCCCGTCAACAAAAACCGTTTCTGCTTTATGAAGAGATTGCGAGCCTGCTCAGGAGACAACTCTCGGCCTATCTGGGCTAGAGTCTCACTCGCACTGTTCAAGGTTGTCCTCTTTGTTGGACTCATTGGCTTCCTTTTCAAGGGCACTTTCCACGGACTTAAGAAGGTATGCAGGAAGTAATTATTTCATCCTCGCTTCAAAGTTGCGCATCCTGTCCATTTTCATGTGAAATGTCATGTTTCGTTTGATTATTTATTACCTTTGATGCCTCCGTGCCTAGTTGATACTAACGAGTATCTCTAGCAATATGCGCCCTCTAAGCAGAACAACCAAGTCTCTGTAAATGACTGGCACGACCATGGGCCTTCTGAAAAACGGGACATTTCTGTCAATACAACTACCAACTCCATTGTTGGCAAATTTCCGCTCTATGACAGCCTGAATCTGACTACCGTCACCGGCAGTATTGCTGTAGTCATCGACCCTCAGCCTGCACATCCGGAGCAACCAGACAAGCCAGCACGTGTGTCCATCAAGACCGAGTCGGGAAGTATTTCTATTGCGTTCAGACTGCCCGGTGTGCAACCCGCCCTGAACGATGCGTCCAGCTTCACTCAACTGCAAACCCTCTACCACTCGGAGCAACCCAGCGCACGGAGCAGCAACGACAAGAACAAAAACAACCTGCACGCCTTCATCACCCCACGAGCCTACGAAGTAGAAATCCACACTTCCTCCGGTAGCATCTCGGGCCAAGTCGCTTTCTCAAATCTGCTCAAGATCTCCACCGTCTCCGGCTCTATCAGCGCCAACCTCATCCCCCTCGTCTTCCTACCCTACGAGGGCGAAGAGCCCCCCTACGACCCCCATGATCCCTACCACCCTCCGGGCGATGGCCGTGGTGGCTTTGTTCCGGCACATCGCGCCAACGTCTCCATCATCACCTCCACTGAGACAGGAAGCACGCATCTCTCGATCTCGGAGCCCTTCTTCCCACCTCCACCAGAACCTGCCAAGAAATCCCCCAACAAGCCCGAGCTGCCCCAGAAAGGCAAGCAGGTCCCTCGATCTATCACCGCACACCATATCGCGCGCGGCTCCGGCTCTTTGGCCGTTGTTTACCCGCCATCCTGGGCTGGGCGAGTCCATGCGAGCAGCTCTGGCAAGGGTCATGTTCGCCTTGGCGGTGAGGGCTTACTGGTTCGCCATGGCAATCAAACAGTTGCTGACGGTGTGAGATATCCGGACCCCGAGGACGAGTGGGATGCTCCGTGGTGGGGCGCGTCTGGCATGATGAACGTTACTGTTGCGAGTAATGGGGGTATGGTCGACTTTTTCGCTAGGGGGGATAGGCTGGATGTATGAGTGAGCTAGGGAGCAGTATTGAGTATTGGGTTGGATTGGCGGGGAGATTAGAAATAGTCTGAGAAAGAAAAAGGTGTGGAGAGTTCATGGTGGGATGGGAATGGGATGAAGGAATAAATACAATAGGTAAAGTAATCTAGTAAGAAAGGACATGCGCGCTGATGGTATCTTTCTCCCTTCTACTTGGGACTTTATTTTATATTTGTTCGTATATTCATTCAATATTTTCGATTTTGGGCATCCAGAAAATTTCCTTTTCTCTCATTTCCCCCGTTTTCTTCCTTCAGTTCGCCGTGGAATAATTGGGTTTCTGGTGATAAAAAATTTATACCCCGCTTTGAATAATAATATACATACATAGAAATTAGAACTCTCTCCGGGATGAAAAATAATATTTGGCCCCCCGGGCTAGTAAACAAGAGTCGAAAAAGAAAAGAGACAAAGCTCATTTAATCGAATTGGCCCTTCACCTAGTTTTTACGCACCTAACCTTCATACAGAAAATAGATTAATTGAATCAATATTATCCTTCTGAAAGTTTGGTAGTTTGTATGGCTATTTTTCACTATACCATGCATGTTGAGGTTGTTTCCCTGTGGCATTTTATGAAGCAAGAAAACATTTCCAATGCGTCGCTAGCTAAATTGGAGAGCTTTATTTTCTCATCTTTGATCCACGCTGGTCTTGATAAAATTGTAGGTGGATACTACGGTTAACTAGCACCGTATAATTTTGTATGAGCCTACTATCGCTGCTGCCGAAAAAGGAAAGTGGGGATAGTGATATGATATGCTCCATACAAATTTCTACCCATTCTAACTCATCATCTTGCTGCTCAGCCTGCTGAGGATTCTTCTGTCTCCAATCCTGCTGCGTACAGCCTTCCCTATACTCATTCCCACCCCCTAGCTCAATAATCTTTTGAATATGGACTGGCACCCGTTCAATCCGGGATTGAATCTGCTTCTGCAAGAGCATATTCCAGCAATCCTCCCAAGCCTTGATAGCATCTTTGCGATTCTTCGGAGCCCCCTTCTTGGTTGTATACCGCTTCATCCATGGCCAGCAAGGCTCAATTGGGTTGAGATCTGGGGAATTCCCACACCAGAACAGCCACTGCACCTCAGCTTTATCATATACAAGCTGTTGTACGTGGTGGTTGTGTGACAGGGCTTTGTCTTCTTGCACTATAGTATTCGGCTGTTTGATTGCGCAGGCTTTGGCAAATGGAAGGAGCTTTGGAATAAGGATTTTGGTCTAGGATATCCATTAGTTAGTATACTTCTGCTAGGATAGTAGTAGGGATCAATCACCTGGTAGCGATACCAATCAATTCCGCCCTTTGAGCTGCTGTGAGCAAGCTTGCCAGTCTTTGCATTGAACTTCCATGTTGGCCGCGCCCAGGGGTTTGTTGACGAAGATTAATCCTTCTCACACCAGTCTCCAGCTTCTTATTCATTTGCTCAATCTCTTCAATAGACTACTTCTTTTCAGCTGCAGACTCAGGCCCCCAGCAGTGCGCAGGCCCTTTATGATTGTAGGAGAAGCATCCCCAAAACATGAATTCCATTGCACCCTTCCACCGCTCACAAATGCAGCTGCGTACAAAGGCCTCATCAGCTCTGCGCCAAATCCTGTAGCCTCCACGGCGGTGAAGCAGGATAACAGAGGTCTCATCAGACCAAATAACATTCTTCCAATCCTCCAGAGTCCAGTTCTTGTGTTTCAAGCACCATTCAAGCCGTTTCTTCTTCATCTTCTCGCTCAGTCCTGGTTTCCTTGTAGGTTTGGTCTTGCGATACCCTGGTGAGCATTAGTAGAGCAGTAGTAAAGCAAGAGATCTTGATACCTGCTTTTTTCAACATGCGCTGAATAGTAGTGGAAGAGATCTTGATCCCAATTTTGTCAAATTCCCCAGCAAGATCAGCTGTGGTCTTTTCCCGGCCATATCGATCATGCTAAATCTTTGAAATCAGCTCCTTGCTAAGCTCCGGTATCTGTATAGTAGGCCACCTGCTGCGACGAGCATCAGCAACATGCTCAGTCTTGATTTCTAGAGGGCGCTGCTCAGGATGAATCCCAGTTGAATGGCAGTATGATAGATCTTGTTGATTTGATTGACTGAAATTCCAGTTGCTTCATGAATCTCAGCAGTAGATTTCCCTACAAAGGGAGATTTGAGTGTAACAATAAGAGATTTCATCTCTGGAGAAGCTTTATTGCGTTGCAAAGGCATGTTGTAGAGGAGCTTTGAAGCTGCTGCGCTGCAGAGGATTTGAAGCAAGAAGATCACCTAGGAATCATCAAAACAAAATCTGATTTTGGTGGGAGACCCATACGAAACCGATACAAGAAAACTTAGCTGTGACTAACTTTTTGAATCGGTCCTCCGTACTTCAGCTCATGATATTTCCTTATTATGCTAGTTAATTCCTTTGCTTCCTATCTAAAAAGCCAAAGAAAAAAAAAAAAAAAAAAAAAAAAATCATTGCACAGGCAAGGAAACCTTTAAATAACTCAGCCTACTTCTTAGCACATTGTTCAACATCTTGCTCACTATGGAGTTGAACCAAATTTGTTCACCTGAACGACCAAAGCTTGATCCAACTCTCCATTTTAAAGGATGTTCAATTTCTTTCTCAATTTGCATTGATCGCTGCCGCTTCCTGGTTGGCGGTTCTCTGTAAAATGCAGTCATTCGGACGCCTTACATTCTCCTCCTTTCTCTTCAAAGGGCAGCGACCATGTTTCCCGCGGTCTAGTGGTCGTACATTTGACAGTGAAGAGGTCATTGAGGCGTAATGTTTGCTTCGGCACAAAGGCAACCACCTACCTACACGAAAGTCGAGGCCTTGCTTGGCGAAATGCCGGGAGAATCGAAAACTACGCCGTCCAAACGTGGACTATGGCCCATGGCGATTACAACCACCTGTATCCATGAGAGAATGAGGCTCGGAGGTCAAGAGGTTACTTAGGGCTGCTGGTCCAGTGACCGTTGATGTTTCATCGCTGGTCCTCTCCGCTTGACGCTGTCCAAACAAAATAATAGAATCAAAGAGTACGCAACAGTAGGAAGGGTCTTTATTGCTTAGATGTACACTCTTGCGACTACTCTCCATTTACTAGCCTTCAGGGTGTTAGGAATTGGGATTCTCTAAAGAGATAAAGTGCGCCGCTGACCAAATGCAAACTTCCCGTTAGCATGCCGTAGTTCAGATCTCCAATTTTTCTCCCTTCATGTAAAGCTTCCTCGATTGTCCGCTCGCATGATACTGCTGCAGTTTGATCGAATTCTTTCCAAAACCTGGCATAACTTTCTTGGATATCGGCAGAAAAGGGGTTGGTCAAATTTCGATCAGGGGACTTGGGGGAGCTGCATTGACAGTGGCACTCTACGTCCTCGTGGTTACAGCGTAAGTGGTAATCCTTGAAGTCTCCATGCCCGGTCCGGCTGGCGTATAGTTTCCCAAGTGTGAAGCGTAGGAGCTTCCTCTCTATAGATGACCTTTGTGATGGAACGGTTTAATAAGAGATAAACTGCATATTATATTGCTCCTAGTACGAGAATACAAAGCTGGAGAAAGGAAAGAAAGAAGTAAACAAACCAGCTACCTAACACATTTATATCATCCTGTCAGGCGAATCCTGTTGTTGCCCTAGTGCTTAGCCCTAACAACCCAGTGTCCGAATCCGCGCCGTCACACCCCTCGAAGAGGATCTCAAGATCGGCGTAACGTTTTGGCATGTTCTGGGCCCAGTACTCCTCGAAGTCCTGTCTGGCCCTCTCTTTGGCCTGCCTGTTGTCGCAGCAGCCTTGGCTTCCTGGCCGGCCCTGTCGTTGCCTGGTATTCCTGCGTGCCCTGGGACCCATCTGACTATTAACTACCCTTCCTCGGATGGTGTGGGGGAGTCTCACTCTCTGCTGCCAGGCTAACTCTGCCTCCTGGAACTGAGCAAAAATCTGCTGGCTAGAGGTGTTGGTCTGATTGCCTAGAGACCTTGCAACCTCTAGGTTGTCTAGGCAGATGTGGACATTGTTGGTATATCTGGCCTGTTTAGAGGTGATAGCATCTCTCAGGCCTTGCAGAGCTCCCATAGCCTCTGCATCAAAAAACACCTCACCTTGAGGTAGAGGCAGGTTTCCTGTTGCAATTACTGGATCACACAAGGACAATAACAATACTCTCACAAAAAGCAAGAACGATGAAAAACTTTAGTCACATGAGCTGATGAGGGAAGAATTGAAAGGCCGAGAGCCGACAATTTTCTTCCCCTGAAACGGACTCTCCTGAAACGGTTCCACTTGGGTTGACTGGATGCCCTCACCTCCGCCTCTCACCCTCCTCACCCTCGCAATGGGTGAGGCAGCCGGGTTAAAGCAGCCCGCCTCCAGCGCTCCTCCAGGACAGGACCAGATTCCCTTTTTGACTATAGTAGGTATATATATATATACACACACATCCCTGACTAGCAAACCAAGAACGCATCGTGTCCTATTCGACGGACGGGCTAGGAATAGCAAGAAACAGAGAGAGGGTGTAATAAATGGGAGATGAGATGGGCAAATGGCACAAGGAACAAAGCATGAAAAGAGAATAAGCAAGAGGAATGGAAGGAAAATGGGACCAGCTTCACAGGGGGGACCAGTCCTTGGATGGGAATTATTGAGGGGAATAAAGGAGAGAGGGAGGGGTGGGAAAATAAAAAGAAGAAGGGTGTTACAAGAAAAGCGAAAACGAAGTGAAGATGGAAGAATTGAAAAAATGGTTTCTCAACAGAACCCCCTGCGCATCAACTATTCAATCCATCCAATTCATTACACATAGCTAGAGACCAAAACTTATAGCCATACATGCCAACTGGCTGCGTTTAAGAAAAATGATGATGGAATGAGATAAAGAAGAAACATGAAAAAGGCGTAAAGCAAAAAGCAAAGTAACTAGACAAATAATTGCGATGATAATAATAAATAATAATAATAATGAATATCAATCGAAAAGAACGAGGATAAAGAGTAAAGAGAGGGGGCGGCAGCAAGGAAGAAAAACAGAGTGGGAATCATCGTATATATGATTTAAATCAAGTTTTGTTGACCTTCTCTCCCCCTACCCTCGCTCTCTCTTGTATGCGCCTAATTTTCCTTAATGTGAAATCTGTTGCCATATGCATGCCATGAATTCTATATGTGGGTGGTTCGTTGCATTTATCCGTTGTATCTTGCTTTCCCCCTATATGGTATGAAAGTTGAGGGTTTTTGAGTTTTCAGTTTTGAGTGTTGTTTTTTTTTTTTTTTTCTTTTCCCGCCAAACTTTCTTCATTATTTTTCTTTCTCATTTTCCCTGCCCTCATCATATACAATTTTTGACTTTACCATCCGTGCTGGTGGTAGGAGCTCTCGAACGGGTTCTGGCCGCCAGTCCGTCCGCTAAACCCGCCCCCGTTCATCATATTAAATAGGATGTTGGGGTCGATATGGATATTCTGGCCGCCGCCCATGCCTCCCATTCCACCCATTCCATGCATGCCTCCCATGCCTCCCATACCGCCCATGTGCGCAAATGAGGCCCCGCCACGCGCGAACATGTCCGCGGGATCTAGGAGGTCATCGCCATTGTCATAACTTGCGCGTTTTCTGTGAGGTGAGGAAAAAGAGGTTGGTTAGTTTATGTGGCTAAATAATGGGAAAGTTTGCGAATAATAAAAGAGAAGGGGGCAGGCATCGTTGGGGGTGCAAAAAAAAAAAAAAAGAGAGAAAGAGAGAGAAAAGAAAGAAAAAGAAAAACGGAAGATTTCGGAGGTCAAGAAGAGGTGGGGGGAGAAAGTGGGATACATACTGAGGATCACTCAAAATTTCATACGCCTCTCCAATCTCCTTAAACTGCGTATCTCCCTTATCGCCATCGATATTCTTATCTGGATGATGCTGAATCGCCAACTTTCTATACGCTTTCTTAATCTCCTGCTCTGACGCATTCTTATCGACGCCAAGAATCTTATAGTAATCTTTCCGTTGGCTCTTCTTAAGCTCAAAATCTGCGTTTCGAACCTCTTCCTGAATGCCCTTCTCGTTGGGATTGGCTTCAGCAATCTTCTTGAATTCGCGCGCGGCTTCCTCCCAGTTGCCAGAGGCTCCGTACGCCTTCGCCCGTACCCGTTGCGCCTTTACGTATGAAGGATCCAGTTTGAGAGCGTCTGTGCAATCTTCAATTGCTTTGTCGTAGTTGCTGAGGTTAAGGTAGGCCTGGGCGCGGTTCTGAAGGAGTTTGGAGTTGATGTCTTTATTCTTGGGGTCGACTTCCAGGGCCTTAGTGTATACATCGATAGCTTCTTGGTACTTTCTTGCCTTGAATGCCGCGTTTCCTTCATCCTTCATTCGGAGAAGTTTCTGCACCATGCGTAGGTATCTGACCGCTTGGGTGGAGTCAGGGTCTAGGTTTAGAGCGAGTTTAAAGTGTCTGATTGCCTGTTCGTTCTCGCCTTGGGCGTAAAATAACCGGCCACGGATCAATAAGGCGTCCGGATCCTGATTGTTATCTCGTAGCATTGACATGACGATATTCTGCGCGTCGCCCAATGTGTTGACATTTCCCATCTTTAGGTACGCCTCTGCTCGCATCAGCCGCCATTTGCGCGGTTGGGTCACGCCAACCCCAAGTCCCTTTACGGCCTGGTCCAGGCAGTACAATGTCATTGAACCTCCTCTATCTTCCCGTAGCAACCCTTCTGCCTGGGTGATATGATGTAACATTGCCTCCGCGGGGCCTTTATCCTTTGCGGTAACGGGTGGTTGGATTCGTGAATAGATGGATAACGCCTCTGTGGGGCGACCAAGGGAAGTGTATATTCTTGCCAATCTGTGCATGATTTTCTGGTTACCAGGCTCCAACTCATCAGCTAGTTTGGCATCTTCCAGGGCTTCATGGTAGCGGTGTGCGGATATGTAGGCAGCCGCTCGATTTGATAGATAGGTAGATGATGTGGGTTGGGCTTCGACAGCTATATTCAAGAAGATATATATTAACACACACAAACACACCCACACCCACACCCACAATGATTAACTTCATAAGCTCTTTCCCTTGTTATCCTTAGATAACTCCATTCTTTCTTTTTCTTTTTCCCGTTCGCTTAACCATGGCGCATATAATTTTCACGCACAATATTGCGGACAGAGCAAAACAAAATAGACAGCCAAAAACACTTACCCTTCGTATACTCTTGGATAGCTTTCTGAAAATCACCCGCCTTGAAAAATTTATTCCCGGCTAATTTGCACGCCTCCGCATCAACAACGGGCTGTGTAGGTTGTGGCGTACTTGAGGGGACATTGTGAGGGGGAGGGGTAGGGCTTCGCTCTGCGGTATCAGAATGGACGCCATTTGACTGCATCCCAGTAGATGAAGCGGGGGAGTCTTGCTGAGTGGGCGTAGAGAAGGCGGAGGGGGAGACGGTGGCGTTGGTCACAGCAGTGGGCGAGTGCGTAACGTCCGGCTGCTCAATGTCCATGGAGCTGCGACTATCGTCTCTTGCAGCTGCCATGGCGGATAGGCGGCGGAGCTCGTCCGGGGGCAGATTCAATGGGTGGGAATCCCGATCGTAGGCGAAGCGGGAGGACGAACCCTTGGATTTATGCTTTGTAGGGCTACCGGAGGGCGTCGAGGCAACACGGCGGCTTTTGCGTTCGGGATCCCGCTGGGGTTTGGGCGACGCCTTGGAGGGAGATTTGCGTGACGAGCCAACACGGGGAGAGGAGGATGATTTGCTTTTGCTATAATTATTGTTGTTGCCGGTGATGCCAATGGAGTAGGGCTGTTGCTGCTGCTGCGGCGGCGGCGGCGGCGAGCGATGGTGGTCGGGGTCGGGATGGCGGTGTTTGGAGGCAGCGCGGCCCAAGGAAGAATCGAGGTGTCGCTCGGAAGAGGCAGCACGGACCAAAGCGGGCGGATGCTGGGAGTCGTGGAGCTGCAGGTCAGACAAGTCTGATGTGTTGCTGGCGGAATGCTTGTGGTGCTTTTTCTTGTCGGGGGATTTTTTGGAGGAGGAAGAAAAAAGTTTTGTGAGAACCATGAGTCCGGTTCGAGTGAGGTCGAGAGCCAGCTAACGGTCGGCTAGGGATGCAGGAGCAAGGTCAGGGCAAAAAAAAATAAAAATAAATAAATAAAATAAAAAATAAAAATAAAAATAAAAAGGAAAAAAGAAAAAAGGAAAAGAAAAAAGAAAAAGACAAGGAAAAGTAAAAAAAGGAAAGTAAAAGAAACCTAGAGAAACAACCACCAAAATACAGACAAATAATTATTACAAGAAGACAACAATACAATAACCAGCGAAAATGAAGGCCGAACTGGAAGACACAAGCAGCAAAGGATGACAGGGCAACAACAAGAACAACACCAGTAACTTATTTAGTAGCAGCAATATCTAGCAGTAGCAGCAGTAAAAGTCCAAAACTAAATAATAACAACAACAATGGCTGGACGGACAAGACTGACTGACTGACTGACTGACTTGACTGCAAGGAGTTTCTCTCAGCATCAACAACCCCCGCCAGCGCGAGAGTAAGGAACTATTTATTATTGTTATTTGGAAGCCGATGGAAGTCAATCGTGTCGCAGCTAAGCAGCTAATCAACGCACTTTGTTCACATCCAACATCAACAGCAACAAATTTTCCCCAGCCACGGGAATAAATCTTCAACCCCAAAAATCACCCTAAGTATTTAGCTAGCTAGATGGCTAAAAGGCAGTGGAGTGGTGCAGGGCTCACTCGGGGGAGAGAGGAGAGGGATGCTGGAATCGAACAGGCTCGGAACGCAGGCGGCGGACAGCAGACTGGGCGAGTATTGAAGATATCGGGTTGAAGAGTCGATATGATTTGATATATGTATTGGAAAACAGGGCAGAATAACCAGTCGAGAAAGCCAGCGTTGGTCCAGGAGTCGCAGGAAGTGAACAAAGGTCTTTGGATAAAATAGTTCTTGATGTTATGTTAGTAGTTGAATGAAAGGAAGTTCGAAGTTCTCTTGTTTTTTTTTTTTTTTTTGTCCACCCTTCTTGAGATCAACTAAATCCTTAAGTCGACAGAAAGTGATTCCGCTTCACCTGATTCCGGGGGAGATAGCGAGAGAGAGGGGAAGTGGAAAAAGAAATAAATTGAATTTAATCCCCATTGGACTCGGCCTCAACCGGCGAATGAAGCTCGCGCACTTAAATCATCAACAGCCCAATGGTTTGAGCCTTTGGGGGGTTAACGTTATTTAAATATGTGAGTATTTAGCGCCCCCTGAGATGAATCATGAGCACAATTCCCGACTTCGATACAGACCGTTGAGAAGACTGTACTCCGTATTTGGTATTCTTATCATAATTATAATGAATGTGCTCTCCTGATTTCCTGGATACCGCGTTGAGAATAATAACAGACCAACTAACTCCCTGCTGAACAAACAAAGCAGATCAATATCACTCTTTTTTCATATATATTTTCAGACGCCTCGAGCAAACACCCAGCAAAGAAAAAAAAAAATCATCCTATATAAGCGAGCAAATAAGGAGAATAGATAGGAAAATCCCTAGCCTGCTAGCCATAAAACAACGATAGATGAGGAGCAGAAGAGGATGAAATGAGTCAACCCTTATCCCAGCTACAACCACATCACCCCTTCTCACAAGCCATCCTACTAGGAATTCCTGTGAAGATACATCAGGGAGCCCAAGTTATGTGTCCAACGATACCAAAATACAGTGCACCCAGGCATATAACAGGATTCTTCGACGACCTCGTGGGAAGCTGACGGGGAAGCTGTGCAGCCTGTAATTGGGAAGTCTGATAGGGAGATGGGAGGAAGGTAAAATAGATGAAGAAAAGCAACTAGAATCTATAATGAGATATCAATGTAATAAATAGTATAAGTTTAAATAAAAAATAAAAAATAAAAAAAAAGGAAGAAAAAATCAAGAAAAAAGAAAGGTAAAGGAAACGAAATTCATCACATCCTTGTTGCTACTGTATGCAACGGCGAAAGACTCTTTGGTCCTCCTCCAGGAAGTTCAGGCGCTGGAGAGGGCTTCGTTGAAGTTGCTGGCTCTACTTTCCGCGTTACTGTTTGGGGAGACGATCTGGGGCGGGAATCCGGAGTTGGCGGATTACCGTTGCTTGGAGTGTTCTCTCGGTGCCGTTTGAGGGTTTCATTCTTTGGATGGTTATGGCACTGGTAATCAATGCAGCGTTAGTAAAATTCAACCTTCTTCACAGAAACGGATATCCAAATAAACGGTTGAGCCTTAAGACAGCCCAACATGGTAGTTAAAACCCCCAGCACGTACCTTGTATGCATGCCTAAACCAGGTGGTACCCTTTTTCTTGCTGCTCACTAGAGCTATCCACTCGTCACAGTTCCCGCAGAGACCCTCCCAAACATTTGTATTTCCGTCTGTGCGCCTCGTGTCTTTTGGAGGTGCAAATGCTTGCCCTGTGGGCGCACTGATTCCATGCGTAAAGCTTTTGTCATACCAAAAGGCAGAGTTCTTGAGCACAAGCCAACGGCCAGGCTTGCAAATCCCGCACCAGCCCTCACGTTTATTCCCGTGCCCTCGAACCCACTTTGGTGTATACAAATCGTTCTCGAATCGAAGATCTTGTTCATACGGTTTCATGCTCGGATCGCTTGGCATCATATCCTCAGGGGGTGGAAGCACTCGTTCCTCCTTTAGCGGTCCTAGCAAATCGGGTGGCCCAGGAAACTCGGAATAGTGGTCAAAATAATGCTGGTGGGGGACAGTGTCACTCTGTAAGGTTCTAAACACTCCCTGAGAGGCGAGCGAGGCAGGATTTCTGAAACGGGCGTTCGCGTCAAAATTCGAAGGCAGTAGATTGTTATTGCCCTGAAAGTGCACCAAGTTTCTACTTCTTGGCTGTTGCCGTGAGGAATCCATCGAGGGAACACTGCGGTTTTGTCTCATTGAAGGAGATGGAAGACCTGATCCGCCGGCATGATTATGCGTTAAAAATGGAGACGTAACACGATTAGGACGGGGTCCGGAGGAGCCTGTCGACCATCGTTTGCGGACACCATCAAAACTATGTGGAGGTGCTCGAACGCTTGCACGAGGGGATGGCGACGCTCTTGCCCGATTCCCTCCGCGAACTAGTTCTGGCAGTGTATGTCTCGGGGATGGTATGGGGGAAAGCGGCGTAGAAGATAGAAGCGAACTTCTCGGCGTGTAGTCAGAACTACTGGCAGAGGCGAATGAGGGAACTTCAGAAAATGCAGAAAGATCAGTGAAGTCGAAAGATCCGGTGTTGCTGGATTGGGAGAAATACGAGTCTGTTAGAGGGCGAGTAACAATGTTTGTATCAAGCGTAAGAGGCTGGTGCTCTGGAAGCAGGTTAAGTCTTCTGCTCCCAGCCGTAACATTCTGGGACTGGGAAAGCTGGCTCGGGAACAAAGGCGGATTGTGATCAATCCCCGAAAATGTAGACAACTCCTCTACTAAATGTTGATCATCAAAGCCTAAATAAAAGTTAGCGACAAATGGCAAGGGCTCGGGTGGCCAGGCAAACACATACGATCGTCCAGAGCGTTGATTCCCAACAACCCCGGTGGCGTTCCAAACTCAGCGGGCATAACGTACTGTGATGGCATCCGAATCTCGTAGGGTTTACAAGCTGGTGTTTTGTGGAACTGGGGTGTGTATGGCAGAGAATAAACGCTGTCATTTATTGTCTTAGGATTAGGTTGGTTGTCTATATCCCAGGCTCTGGGTCCGCACGAATTCAATGTAGTGTTTGTCATGTTCCTAGTGGCCATATTCCCATCCTCTAACACTTTACCAAAATCAATATTGTTCACTTGTATGCTACTTCCCGGAGTTGGCGGTGGAAACCCCATGGATGAAATGAGGGTTGATGGTAACGAGTTTCTATAAGAATGAAATATCAGCATTACTGTCGGGGTAAGGAAAGGCTCTGCACACGCCGACTCCGAGCCAATTCAACATACCTTGGCCCGACCTGACTATAGTCTATATCATTGGACGACATATCGATCATTCTCTTCGGACAGCCTGCAGAACATAGGCGTCTCCACGCTCCGCGAATCTCGTTAAGAGCTGCGGCTGCTACTACAGAACGGACTGGCTTCCGAATGGGATAAATGTGGTGTGTTTTGTCAAAGAAAATATGTTCAATCCTTTCGTGGGACTCAAGAACGAAAAAGACCGCGTGGGTTAAAGATCGTTGGTTTTATGAATGTCTTTGTTCCGCAAGGCGCGTTAAGAAAAAAAAAATCCTTTTTTAGCAAAAGGAAGGTTTAGTCTTTGCCAAAAACTTTGGGCTGCCAGCGGACTCCAGCTATGAGCAACGATCGACGAAAAGTATATTTTCAAATAGTGAGGTTCATAGTATAATAATATAACAAAAATAAAGAATAAAAGGAGTGACTAAAGAGCATGCATTGTGGAAAATCAGAAGGCCGGCAGGAAGGACAACGGAGCAAAAACATGAATGAAGAGGAGAAGGGCGAGCAAGGTATATTGATCTCGGGATGGGTTGGTTCAAACCATATTGCTCCCGCGCGAGGATTTTCCCTAAAGACGATCATGGAGGAGCTAGTCTGCAAGACTCAAAACATTCTCCACTTCCCCATTTTTCTCCAAAGGTGGCCAGTAGACTCTCCAAAAGGAGTTTAGCAGTTGTGTTGGAGTACCCATCTGGCCAACAATTGAGGTTAGTGTCTGCGAGTACAGTAGGGACCAGGGTATGAAGCTAAACACGGGGGGCCCTTAAGGGTTTGACGCCGGACTCTCATGAAGGCAAATGTGTCTCATCATTTGCTAGAGAAAGCATAACGTCTGCTTTCGAATGACGAATGCAGAATGGGTATCAATCACATTGGTTGAGCACACCGATGCCGCCGAACTGTACATTGTGTATGTCTATTCCTCGCACTAGGGCTGCTGTGGACGTCAACCAGTCCCGTTCTGTGTGCCAGGATGAGAGTGGTCCAGTTTCTTGTAGGCGCCGGACGAAACTCCACGTTTGTCTGGACCAGGGGACAGCGGCCGCGGATAGGCGAGCCGAGTCCTGTCAAGTATATTCTGCTATTTCTGGCCATCGGACAAGAATTGTAGTGCCCGTATGCTTTTAGAGGCGGTTGCTCAACAGTACATTGCTAACGATGCCCTGAGTGTTGGCCGAGGATGCTGGCGGAGAAGATGAGGAGACTCGGGGAGGAGGTTGAAGCGACAGGAGGAATTCAGAGTCGCAGCGGAGGTAGGCCTGATGCGGCATAGTTGTTTCATGTGACAAGGGGCTCAAACATCCAAGGAGCGCCGCTTCTTCTGGAACAACCAATATCGCGAACGGCACCTCGGGCAACAATATCTCTGGAATACACCAAGGCATGCTATGTTCTACCTTGACAATATCGAAAGAGAAATGACCTCCCTTAGGGCCTTCTATCACCCTCGCAATTTGGATGCCTGTCGCCCTGCTATTGAGTGGCATTTCCTGCTTCCTCCCCGTTGAGTCCAAGACACTCCCGAAATCGGTTGTCTCACCAGTCTTGTGGAATAGCTCGTGGTTTTCGAACTAACAGGATGAACGTGCCGCACGTTTACTATAATTAGGTCCCGTGGGCTTTCAAGACTAGAAGGGGACGTAATGGATAGCAGCCGTGATGCTGAACATAGTTTTTCTAGTGGGCTAAAACCAGACCTTTAAAGCCACCAACTTACCCTACCTCCTAATTGATTTCAGTCGCCATTTGAAGGGCGATATATCGAGTTATGGAGCAGAGCTCGACTATATGTCACAAAGGCTACATACAATCTGACTATGCAGACCTTCCAAGATTAGTAAGAATTTCTATCCGTCTCAAGGGGAAGTCGGGGCCGGAATTGGGTTTTTCCGCGGCTGATTCTAACGCGCGCTAAAAACCCCTGCACGCACAACGTTTCAACCGGACGGGTATCAGCAAAGGGCAGTTATTCACAGCGAAAACTAGGACAGTCCGCTGCATTTTCACAATAGATAGCTGCAGATCATCTCTATCGAAATTATCCTTTATTAATTTAGATTGATATTTCGTATTCGAGAATTTCATGGAAAACTACCAATTGACCTAATACAAGGGCCAAGCAAGGACACACGTTTCATTGAATCCAGCGCTTAGGTTAGCGGGGAACCAAAATATACTCCCCGGAACATGGATTCCACCTATCATGCTTAAAATTTCCAGGCGCCACGAACACGGGAAGTTTGCCTGTCAAGCCAGCCCAAAGAAGGGGATGGGATCAATTTCACAGAAGGGAAAGGGTCTCTGCCCAATAACGACTAATGGATGACTTGCCACACCACACCAGCCAGAAGAAAATATTAGATCCCCATCGATGTGAGAGGAAAAGCTGCTGGCGGGCACAGAGATAAATAAGCACTTGTGGCTGGGAGTTTTAATAAATCTCTATCTCCATTTTGATCCTCTCCCGGCCATGAGTTTATTATTTTCAGACAACGGCCGTCGCAGCAGAACTAACACGAAGCTAATCCATGAGAAACCACTTTTTTTTGACTTGTAAAACAAGAAATTCAGAGCATGCATACCCACCGTTTTCCCCGGGTCCAATCAAGCTTGTCCAGTAATCATGGGAATCATTGGCGCCCACAGGGATAACTAGTACCATCAACCACACTATGTTATATCCATCCATTCAATTAATATATTGTTGGCTCGATTATCCTGCTTCGCGCAAAATACTAACACCCATGAATAATAAAGAATGGGGCGCGCATTTAATTCCCCCAACGCCAAAGCAAGAGGCACAAGATTCTCAACCTAACTACGTCCTTGGACCAAGCAATGGAGCTTTCTCCTAGCCGCTGCAGGCTATCTACATAGTACTGTAGGTGCCGTAACAGCCAACCCACGGCAAGCTCGCCCCGCAGACAAACCAGCTCCTTTGACAGCGGGGAATTCTATAAATAGCCCAACCTGAAGAAATTTAAGCGCCTGGGAAAGTCTTGACCCGGCGCGGTCCGTGCGTATGCAAGTCATCACTGGACTAAGATGCAAGCATTAGTTGTTGGGCAGAGAATGGTCAATCTACGTATTGGCTAACGGTTCGTTGATAGGTGTCTAGATGAGCAATTAGAAGCAACTCTAGAAAATGATCTAAAAATATTATCGACCATTTATGTCCTTAGCTCAGTATTTGCGGATAAAGTTATTCAGTTCCATGGCCCTAACCAGGGGTTGTTGCTTGCTTCGTTTGTTTGGATATCCACCAATCATGAGAGCATCGTGCTCAGGAACAAGAGGATACAAGAAAATATATCAAAAAGGGATGGGATATTTGGCAGATTTAAATTAAAGAGAATTATGAAACTATGATCAACTAGCCACGTAGAAGTCGTTTGCTGGAGTGGATATTCTCTCCAATTTGGAGGTAGAAAAGACAGTATAAGTACTGTATCTACCACCTAGCTAAATGTTTGGATGGACCTCCAACTAGTGCAGTCCGGTGGCCTAGGTTTGATAGGGTGTGTAGAGAGACACATACCTGCTAGAGAGTTCAAGTTACTATCTAAAAATATAAATCCATCCCTAGTTTGTGGTATAGACCTAGATATGTAGGTTGGTATGACTTAATGGGGAAAAAAACATGTAAAGTTGGTTGCGGTGGCCACATCGTATTCAATGAATATCTGTTGAACTGAATGCATGATAGAACAGTAAAACACTGAGAATTTCTTTCAGCTACATATCAGAAGAAAACATTTGAGAAACTGTTTGATGAACACTACAAGACTGACAAAGAACATGGGAATACCAAGTCATAGTGATGAGTTAGGGACCGAAACAAAGAGAAGGAAGTAAAGGGGAAAGCGAAAGCAAAATCATCCAAAAATGCCTCACTTGCATGACGGGTATTCTCCTAGATTTAGAGTCACAAGACAGCTTTATTTTGACAAGGAAGTGATAATTGTAGGATCATCTAGAATGGTAGGATGGCAAGTCAAACTGAAATAGCGAGCAATTCCATGAATAGCAGTTGTGACAGGAAATGTTTGCACATTCGCGAAGCTAACAGAGTTGACTATGTAATTAAGCATGACAGGTGTTGGGGGGAAAAGAAAATGGACAAGAAAGAAAAAGTATCTCTCTATTACTAGAATACCGGTGCAATCCGTAAGTTAAAAAATATTCTGATGGGATGTGCTTCCAAGGCCGTTGCAAGGCTGGATCAAGGTGTGCAGGTATCGCTAGAAAACAGCACCGTAGCCCTTAGCATAAACGTGGTTTAGGCAATTTCTATTGGAACAAAACAAAATAACTGCTGAAAATTTTCCAAGCGAGATATTGAAAGGGCTACAGAGACCCAATATGAACCGAACTTCCAAAATGGAGACGATTCGATAATCGATGTTCGCCCCACGAGCCGAATGATAAAAGAGCACACCGACTCTCTCTGTTGGAGAATGGCAGCTCTGGATGGAGTTCAAGGATGATAATACCCTCAAAAAATTTCGCGTATACGATCCTAGAAGGAACAACACAACGCTCATCTGAAATTCCCACCCATTTCATCCTTGATCCCAATGATAGTTGGTGTATCACTTGGTACCTTTTAGGTATCACTGTTTATGAATTGGATGCTGCTGGCACGTTAAACATCGTATTCACATTTGGAGAAGCTTCCTGAGTTCTTTGTTCAGCGTCTTCTCCTCAGCAGTCTGCGATTTCTCAAATGCATTTTTGTAGTCCCAGCTAATCTTCTGGAAGAGTTTTTCGGTTTCCATGGCCAAATAATCCCTAACGGACTGGATACTGCCTTCGAGTTCGGACTTGACGTGTTCTGTGCTTTTGTGAAACATTTCGTGTCTGCGTTTTTCCACATGTTGAGTCATGATATCTTTCATGCGTAGGTAAACCCCTCGCCCTACAAAAACTCTTAGCATTGAAAGTGATCACAAGATAGTTACTTACCCATTGCAGATCCACAGCCTTCATAGGCTTCTCCCAACTCAGCAGCAATTATCGGAACGAAAGCACGGTTTGCGGCCTTGTGGCTTTCGCATAAAATTTTGCTACTCGCGGCGGATAGCTCCTTGAATGAAGCCCGATAGGTTGGGAGTTGAACCTTCAGCTTCTCTGCTATTTTCGAACCCACTGCCCCAGCGGAGATACGAGGTTCGAGGCTCGCATACAAGGCTTTCACATAGCCATATGTTGTTTTGGAATATCGGGTTAAAATTTTGGGGATTAGGCGTGAGAAGGAACTGTGGATTTTTTTCCATTTTAGTAGCGTAAGCCGCACAGACGTTTCTTACCGTTCCCAACCAACCGCAAGAACTGGCATCATAGGTCGGATCCTAAAGTTGTCAGACATAACATGCTTCTTATATAGGAGCCATAAGGCCTTACAAGGTGCTATTCCAGTCCTATTATTATATTATTAATATCCTTTCATAGAAGAAAGAAAAGGAAAATATCTCAGCTGATCGAGACTCACATGGTGTTTGTAAACCCCTTGGCGTCTGCAAATCGCTTTATAAGTATTCCAAGCAAGACCCTCTGGAGAGACCTTGCGTGAGCGGTTCCATTGCGCAAGGGCTTTGCCAGCTTCGTTGCAAGCCTATGATGAAGCTAAACCTATGAAATGTGAGCGCCGAACTACTGGAATAGCATTTCTAAAAGGCGGGAGCCGGGGAGACGCACCAAATTTATCAAAAATGTTATCCTCGACGGCACTAGTAATTTCTGCCAAAACTTCTCCAGTTAAATTCTCTAGGCCCTGAATTTACGAGTGAGCAAATAGAAACAACGCAACAAAACCATTGTGGTGGACCTTGGCTCAGTACATACTTGTTGGAGGATATCCAGTCCATTTTGCAAGAAAAGACGGTCATTTCTTTGGCGCTCCTCGCATAGGGAATCTGAAGGACCCCTAGCGGAACTTAGCAAATCCAAGGAGTTCATGAGCTGCTGTAGCCCATTGAGGAATGACTCGCAGCCAGATGTGCGTTGGGCGATCGTCAAGCTCAGACAATGAGCTTGGAGATCTAGTATCTCAGTGTCTTCGGGGTTGCAGAGTGCCTTAACGGCATGGTCACGACGAAGTCTACCCTTCAACTTTTGATACGCTTTGGAGGACACACAAAAGACTGGAAGAGCTCTAGCAACCTGATCATAATCCCTGAGGTCAACACTAGGATCAAAACTCTCCTCTTCCGCATCTACCTCGTCCAATTGCCGAACCCCATCGACAAATTTTTGTCGAATTTGGGCCTTCACAGTATCGTTTCTTTCCAGAATACACCTCAGACCGAGTATATCTTGTTTCCTTTGCTCGTTTTCCCGAGCAATATTCAATGCCTCGGTCATTCGTTCTATCTCAGAGTCGATTTGTTTTTTTCGATGAGATAGGCGCTTTCGTTTATTTGACACATCACACCACCTCTTTTCTACCGAATCTTCCGTCTGTCTGACATTTATTTCCGTGTTGCTGTAGTCTGGGCCATATTCATTATTGTGGTTTTCTCGATATCTTCCGAACTCCTGTTTTAAGGTAGAGGGTTAAAGTCGGTCACCCTACTTCTTTTCGGAGAACCATCAGTGCTCTTCAGTAAATCGAAATCGCATCCCAGAGTAGCCATTTCTTCGCAAAGCTCATCGATTGATATAACAAGTTCCGTGCGCTCCTCTTTCAGGGCTCTGAGTTGCTCTTCTAGGCGTGTAATGGAGATTTCAGGAATATCCGGAGTCGAAAACGGCTCATCGACTATGTCGTCAAAATTAACAATAATTTCTGATAAGTTAATATCATCCGTTTTCGAACAAATGAATGTCACTGCGCCAAGAGCGCCGTCCATTTGGGATCTGTCTTTGGAAATTCATTGAGAGAAGGGTCTTGGCCGTTTTATCATCTACTGCTCGAGTTATGGGAGCCACGATCCAAAGAGATGAGCAGCGTTCGATGTATCGTGACGCAACTGCAGCTCTTGCTGCATTAGCGTCCTGCGTACCAGGCAAATCCACAATAACAGCTCCGGTCGCAAGAACAGGGGCCTTGACGTACAAGCGAACTACGCGTCGGTCATTGGCTTTGCTTTTCCCGTTCATACCTTTGCGTCGGGTTTGGGTTTTGCTGTCCACATACTTTTGAAGTTTGGTGTAGAATAAAATCGGATCATCCTCGGCGAATTCAACCGTTTTCCCTAGAAGATTTGACACATTTTCGTGGACCAAAAGCTCTTTGATCGACGACTTAAGAATGTCCGGGATGTCAGGGTATACGGCAGTCGCTTTCGCACAGGCAATTGCAGAATCGGAATTATCTCCGGTTTGTTGATTCCCGAGTTCAATATCGCCGAAAATTAAATTTAATTCCTCTTCCCACTCTGCCAAGGAAATAAACTCGATCTCCGCTCTGTAACGGTTTGGTGAATGGTTGAAAGATATCTCAGTCACGACGGCTATACAGGCACGCATACTATTTGTCGGGACCAAACGCTCCTCATCCAAAATTGCGTTGATTAACGACGATTTACCTGCCCCTGTAGTTCCGACAACACCGATAATGACTCGAGCGGACACAGCTCTCTTTTCAAGCTCCTCGATCTGCTTCAGCCATCTATTTTCTGATGGTTGGCGGGAGTATTTCCGAAGTAGGGATTTCAATGGACCCAGAAATTGAAGCCCTTCCGCCACCCCATTTTCAAGGTTTTCAATGCTAGAATCTCGATGCATGTAGCGGGGTCGTATGAGCGGTGGATATGGATCAAGTCCTTCTGACTTTATATCCACTCCGCCTGTCTCCCCTTCGACTGAGTTGTCTTCTGGAGAGTCAGCTTGCTGCTGTGTAATTCCCTGGAGAAATAAATAAATCAGCACTTTCCGAAACTGCTTCACCGTTTGGTTACCTACTGGAGATAGTTTGCCATAAAAAACATTATCTGCCATCAGAAATGGATTATATAGGTTAACTGCAGCGTTCTTCTCCAGCTTAACATCGAGAAGAAGTCCAGCGTGAGCAGAGCTACTGGCGTCAGGATGTGGAGTTCCCGGTGGATCTGCCATTTTCGAAGTCAGAACCACGCAACCGGCGGGCTGAGGAGAAGGGAAGTGAAATCGGAGCAATACGGTGTGTCGCTGTTCGATTTGTGAACGAGGGTTGAAAGAACAGGGTGTAAGGCCCAATTGCGTTCCAAACCAGAAGCTTGGATGTATTGGGGAGAGAAGCAGGGCCAGAAAGAAGATTGAGAGAAGTTTGGTAAGGGGGTTGGCGTTTCTTCACCTAATAACACAATGCAACTCCTTATACTACCGTGTGTGTGTGTGGGCTCTGTGTTATCGCTTTCATGGAATCGGCGGGACATAATTGATATTCAGCATCATGCTAGAACACCACTGGCTGCCAATGTCACTCAACAAAATAGAAAAATAATATCAAATACATGACATTGTAACTATTTGTATTATTACTGTTGGTCAACTTTTTATACTGTGAAAGCCTTCCACCAGCTATGGAGATTTATTCTCCATGACTGCCCAATCAAAATATGAGTATTAGCCTTGCTATAGCAATGATGATTATTTGTTCTTCTCAAATTTTGACAAGCCTTCCAAACCTACATGAATGAATTTGTGACCCTCAGCAGAATAGTAAAGCTCTACTACGTAAGGCAACAATATGTGTGAGAACATCCAAGCAAGCTCCTACCTCAAAACCCTTCTGCAACTGAATCTTGTCTTCAGCATGGGAGACATTGAACATATAGACAGTACCCATGTTGCTTTGCTGGCATACTATCAAGGACTCTGGCTGGCATCCGTTTCTCTTATTGACAGCTGGAGGAAGTGATAGGATGCTTGCATCACTCAGGAAATTGAACAATGGGATAGTTCCAAGATTTGGATCCTCCTACACACTTTCTCCTAGAAGCCGCTTCCGAGATTTCATGGTTAGCCAAATTGGCATCTCCAGAGAAGGAACAGCTATAGGAATCCGCTCAGAAGCAATGGCCCGGTCAGATCCTTTACATTCCTATGGCAATTGTCGCCGCAGCCATGCGCACGGGATTGTCTCTAGGACGTAGCTACTCACTAGAGTGATGATGACAGGTCCTAAATCCGAAATAGCTTGCTTCCTCTGTTGATATCATCTGTGAAATAGTTTCCCGGATCTGAAATACGTCGTATATTCCACCATGCCTACCACCACGACCTTTTGAAATTGACAATATGTCGGGAATCAACGTGATGGTAAGATCCGTGATGTAAAATAAAGTGACTGCAGGAAGGGTCTTGGAAAGATCTGTCTCCCTCCCGAAGCAGATATGGATGGTTACCCCCTATTTCTTGTTGGTTGAGCCTGGATAAGAGTACTACATGCACGAAAATACATCCTATGCAGTGAACGCGTCTATCACATCCATTGCCATTCATGGTCGCCTTGGTATGGATGGGTCCGGTACTCAATCCACAGTATCTTCGCTATTGGAGCGAAGGCCTCCCTGGAGTATACTCGAGAGGTAAGTCTGAATTCAAGAACCTTCGAACTTCCTCCCAAGTAGCGCAATACTCTGTCCGCTGGTGATGCTTTTCAGAGACTTCTACCAGACAACGTATGGCGTAAAATAGCAAACGCTCCAGTCCACTGTCATAGTCTGCCCCATCCAAGTGAGTCACCGCAGATATCCTCATTCATCTGACAAAGGGATTAAATAGGGACCGAAATTGGCCCAGGACAGAAAAGCGAACATCACTGGACTCCGCGACCGTTCCACGGAATCGACAAAATCCAAGCGCGGAGAAACGTGTTAACTGAGCGTATAGGCGTACTGGCAAGATTTCAGCAATATCTCCTCCATCCAGTCCCTAGGTCGTCCCCAGGCGGTGGCTCAACTTCAACATGTATCAGGCATCACATGAAAGACGGGGAAAACAGAGGCATTGAAAGTGAAGCAGACTTCAGACTGATGATCGATCGATCGCTTTGTTTTGCTTTTTCATGAAATACCTACCTAAAAGGAGCCACTCAGTAATCCAGCGGACGCAGCCTCAGCAACGGGCGAAATATTTTGTAGAGGATCGTGCTGGTGGTGGTTTGAGGTTCAGCCCTTGGATTATGTCATGAACTGCAACCCGCGTCACTTCTTCTCTAGCTTTCAAGCTAAATATGTCAGGTCACGTGATCTGGCTTACTAATCCTTCCACCATATAACTTTCCACAAGCTAGCAACCTTTCAATCACACAAGCTTTACACCTTTCACAGGTTATGAGACCTGTTTTGTGCAAAATCACTGCCAATTCAGGATTCCTTGTCAATATACTCATTATTTGAACTACTGCTTTATTCAATACACTTATCAGAAGTTAAAATCATCTTATTCTATTAATATTGATGTGTTTGAGATCTTGATGATTAATAATACTACTGCTCACTTAAAAAAGAGACTTGCAGAAAACATATCACATTTGTAAAAAAGCAAGAAAAAGAGAATAATATTGATAAGAATTCAATAAATAAATATCAAGATAATGAATTCAACACAATTCTGCTTATATATATGTTCACAATCTCATATTCTTTTCACTGAATCAGTTGAAGTTGATGATGATTCTTCACACTTATACTCTGTCAGTGAACATTCTTCTGAAGCTTTTGAAAGCTTCATTGATGAATATCTTAAAACATTCTCTCAATTCAAAGCTGATTTAAATACAGCTTCTGACACAGTCAGACCGGTCTTCTAATCTACTTAACAGCTTGATACTAATTCTCTTAATAAGAATAATAAACACTCAGATGTCTATCATTCAGACAAGACAATATCAAATCAACAGATAAAGCATCTTAAGATAATACTTGAGATGAATAAGAGAAAGTAAAGAGTTCTAGAACTTGAACTATAACTGAAAAAACTCTGTCAACAGAGATTCTCTATAAATTAATCACAGAATATTAATAATTATTCTGTCATTACATCAACAGCTACATGAAATTCTAATCTTAATAAAAGATTGAAATTCAATCTTTATAAACTGAATAGTCATATTGACAAGACAATCTCTCAATTTAAGAAAGATATCAAGAATACTGTGAGATTAAACAGTCTAACTGATACATTTAATTACATCACATAAAGCATCTTTATGAAATCAAAACTGATTAATACACAGTGCTGATATATAATTGAGAAATAACAGACTCAGAACTCTTTACAAAGAGATAATAAATAAGTATTATTCTGAGATACTAGAAACTGATGACTCTATACATTCATCTCAAACTTCTTAAGTGTAGATGTCAGATCACATTTCTTCAAGTATGATGAAAATCAGATTACTTATACTCTATGAAATGCAATTGAATAGAAATACTCTGTTCTTAAAACACAGTTACACTGTAAGACAGTTCTAGAATTCATGTCTTTTAATAATACACAGATTATCAATCTATACACATTCTTTAATAAGTTTCAGTTTATTATTATAAAATTAAAGATGTTGAATACTTCTCTCTCAGATATATAAATATTTAATATCTTCTACTCAGTTCTACTTAATAATTGAAGAAATTACATTCAGAAGAAGATAGAAAAAATACAGAATTTCAAATTCACAGCTGTGATATTGAATATTGATCTTCTCATGAAGAAAATCTGTTTATAACTTAATTCTTCAAAAGATAAAAAGAATCTGCAGAATATAGATTCTGCAGTTAACTCAGTTATAACAGCTATAACAGTTATAACAGCTATAACAGTCACACTGACTATTAGTAATAATATATCAAATTCAGTCTGTGAAGACTATACTGAATGTGATTGTAATAGTATATAAGAAGGCTTCTGAAATTATCAGAGATCAGAAAATTCATCTATATATTCTGAATATGAGAGATCTTACTTTAATATCTGTTAATTGATCAATTCAGACAGTGCTCTGAATAATTGAAGAATAAATAATACTGAAAGAATAAAGAAATTCAAAGAAAAGAAGAAAAAGAATAATAGTGAGAATAAAACTCAACTATTTATTACAGATAAATCAGAGATCTATCAGATGATAAATCTTATAGAGATTATCAATGTATCAGTCTGTTTTATAAAACCTCATAAGAATTCTCTCACTATATAGAATAGTAGCACTGAATGTCATATAGTGAGTGATAGATTACAATTTTTGAAACTTATAGTAATCAATGATTCAACAGTTCAAGTGACTAACAAGATTATTATAAAGATTCAGAGTATCAGCACTGTATTTATCTCAGTGAGTGAAAGATTGATAGAATTCAATCATGTATACTATATATCAGAACTATTCACAAATCTGATCTTTACTGAGCTTATAAAACATCAGAGCTATATTTACTGTGATATGTAAGTTAATACTGAGAACTACTTTGAGTTTCTATTATCTATTAACAGTGATATCTTCTACATTAATCTGTCTTATAATAATGTTTACATTCTATCTGACAGCTCACTGACATTTCATAAGATAATAAATGACTCAATATATAAAGCAGTGACATATGTGACTGTTCTGAAATCAAAGACAATCTCAATAGATTATAATTTAAATGCAGAGTCTTTGAGATCTTTCAGCTATGAGAAGATTGAACAGTTAATTAACTCTAAGAATTCAGATACTGATTTCTTTATTATCTTATTTTTATCTTAATTATCTGCAGTTCTTCTGAAACAGCTTTTAATAGATGAGTGATATTATCAACTTAATTATATCAGTGAAAATAGTATATTAAAAATGATCAGAGACCTGTAATTTAATATTGTTATTATCAGTCTAAAGAAATTATCATTCTGTATTATATATATTAAGACTAAACAGAAATACACTTTCTACAAGAATTTCACATCATATTATATCATCTGCAAGATCTTGATAATTTGAGTGAATATATTCAGTGATGATGAGACTCTTGAAACTGAGAATAATATATCATCTTACACTGATAAGAAGCTTATAATGATGATAACAGATGATATCATCTGTATGAGATGAATATTTCTATTAAAATGTAAGAATAAGATGTTGAGATATCTAC